CATCACGCCTTTTATCCCCGAAGGGGTAGGCAGAGGTGCACACAGAAGTAACACCCACTTTTCACTATTTATGTTATGAATCCCATGTAATAGGGGGTGAGCCTATTGCCATATACTGGGCTCAATTCCATACTCCGTGCTACTATTGAGATTTTTTTTAAACCTAGTAATACTTTGCCCGACCGGGGAATTGACGCCTTGTCCGGCACTCGCACTTGCGACCACGCGGTCAACGAGGCAGTCGGGGTTTTGTAGACAAAATGGAAACCTCGAGTATATAGAGACAGGGTAATGGCAGACCGATTACGACCGGATACGATTTTTAAAAACATGGGTATGCATCTGTCTCAGTCAGTAGTCAGCACCACATACCACCAGCACTCCAGAATCACACCAGAATCCTCAACAACCCTCAAACTCCTAATCCTCAAAAGGTAGTCGCGGAGAACTTAACGGGTAACCGGGGCTCCGGCTCGACGTGCAGGAGAAGGAACGGGGTGGTTTTTAGTCAGTAAGAGTCTGACACTCCCTCCCGCCTCACACAGGAGGGAGCATTCGATGATTTTCCCCCTTTAAAAAAACCACTAGCACCAATAGATAAGCTACCAGTGAGTTCAGATGCAAAAGTAATGTTTTCTTGTGTTGTATTTTCTATCGCTCAATGTCAAAGGTCACTGTTAGCATATTTAGATAATCGGATTAATCGTTTTCAGCAAAACAATGGTAATCAACTGTTGCTCTTAGAATTGTGGGTACTTTCCTTAGTCAAAAATATATTATTTCGACTTGTCAATACAATAAAATATAGAAAAATAATCACACTTTCATTAATTGCTTTTATGACAACTTAATTTTAGTATTTATCCAGCAATTTTCTACGAAATAAGTATCCTGTCGTACAAAATTCATAGAAAACTGTCGTTTCTGACTAGCATAGCTTAACTTACATAGCATATATAGTATCTCTGTTGCCACCATAACAATAAACACTAAAACCAAATATTTAAAGGGCTCCTAAACATTCAACAAATATTTTAATGCTGTTTATTACTACTAACGCCATCTACACATGAATAGCGGACGTAAATTTAAGAAAAATTTTGTGTCTTAATACTTCGGTGTAAAATTGTAAGATGGCGTTATTCACAACTTATTACAATTAATGACTATTTCTAATAAATGTGCAAAGCTGCTTTAATCTTACTCTTTTTTACTAATATTGTAGGTAAATGCGAAAGCTTGTGATTTTATTCTCTGAGCAGAATGTTTGGGATGAAGATTTGGCGACTAAGAACGTAAAAGAAGCTACTGTTAACTTTTACAGCATTATTTATGGTCTTTTTGACGCGTGGCAGAGGGAGTTCAATAAATATTCACAAGAGATATAATACAGGCTCTCAAGGTCAAGTTGAAGCTCAAAAATGATTGAAGACTTTAAAATTTCAGATCAAACTAGAATTGCAGAGGCGTATTCCTCATACATCGTCACTACATGGTATAAAACTCTATGTAGGCTTAGATCTTTAAAACTACGCAACGGATTTCGATGCGGTTTTTTTAATAGATCGAGTGATTCTTGAGGAAGGTTTATATGTATAATACATGCATATTGCACCCGTGTGAAGCCGGGGTGGGTCGCTAGTGACATATATAGAGAACAAGATTAAAGACAATCGTCAATAAATAATAATAAAAATAAAAAATCTTTATTATTAGAGAGATCACATTTTTTACATTTCCTGGATCATGACTGTGGCCAGAGCAAAAGGACCCTGACTCCTAAGCTAGGAAAAAACCTGTATCTTAGAAGTCAGTGTACATACGAAATTGAAGTATACGAATTAGCCATTGCGATTACAATAGGCGTGTCGACAGGGTAAAAAAATCAAAAAAGTAATTAGTCCGTCATTAAGATCGCACGAAAATATCAGACACGTATTTTTTGTTTTATCAAATTAACAGAAGAATACGTAGTTATTCCGCATTAAAGTTAGGGAGTGGGGGGTGTTGACGTCACACTTACGGAGAAATCGTACCTAAGTGTGACGTCACGCGTCATTTTAACTCAAAATATCTACATGTTTTTTTGGATACGAGAAAAAAGAAAAAATACGTATCGAAGATTTTTAAAATATCTAAAAGACGGACAAAATATTAAAAAATAGTCGCCATGCCTATTACCTGGATAGGACCATGATAACGGACAGGAACAAACAAGTTACAGACCAAAGTAAGCTATGTTAGTCACATACTTCTTGTCTGCGATCTGAAGGTGGGTTTGTTGAACCGAATGTTGTATATTAGCGCCAATCTTATACGGGTGCCAAAACAGCTGAAGCTTTAGCTGACTTCTGCAACAGTGTTCCTGCCTGACATTCCGCGGCTCAATTCCGATCTTGCCATTACATTAGATCATTCAAATAGCAGTAATCAAATTAATTTAATAATATACCCTGTACTTTGCGCCGTACAGACATTATTAAGGGTTACATAACATAGCATCACGCCTTTTATCCTCGAATAGGTAGAGAGAGGTGTACATTATGCCACTGTACAATGTAACCACTTTTCACTATTTATGTTATGAGTCCCATGTAATAGGGGGTAGTCTATTGCCATATACCGGATACCGGGCACAATTCCAGACTCTGTGCTACGCGTTGTCCGGCAGTCGCACTTACCACTTGGCCAACGAGGCAGTATTAAGGGTTAAGGAAATAAATAAACTTAAAGTCCGTAGTTCAGTTGGTCCCGACAACATTCCCCCCTTCAGGGCTCGTACACAAAACTACGATACGACGATGTGCGAGTTCCTTCTACGCATCGCAAGAACTTGCAAATTGATTCGCATCGCGCATCAAAATCTTCTTTGTTTCTTTTACCTGTATCTTCTAAGCACTAACAGAAGTGCACACTCCTTTTTACGATCCATGTCACGACCTAGTTTTCAATTTAAATAATACGTTTACTACGGTTGACGGTCGTCGAAGGAATGGTCACCCTGGGAGACGCCTTGTCGCACGAAATCGCATCGCAGCAATTCGTGTCGTAATTTTTTTGCGTAGTAAATTCGCATCGCAGTTTTGTGTACGAGCCGTCTAAGTTAAAGACCCAAGAAATATTATCATTGATCCTCTACGCCATATTTTTAATTTAGCCTTACAAACCGGTATTTATACCACTGAATGGAAAGTTTCTAGGGTTACACCTATTCCTAACATACAAGGCAAGGAATATCGCCCTATCGCAATCCTGTCTACTAGTGTCTACCCCAGCAAAGGTCTTCGAGAGAACATCCTTGATAATATTGTTTATAAACAAGTAAACATGTCTTCATTATATTTAATTAGTATATGTTGTGATATATAAGACGTTAATTTTAATGTTAATGTTAATTATTGTGTTATTGTAATAAGTGTTAAACGTTTACACCTACTATTGTGTCTCTCTGCACCACCCTAAGGTTGACTGTTAGAGAATGCCACTAGGCATTAAGTCCGCCATTGTAAATAAGAAGTGTAAATAAATAAACAAGTATCTCGGTGACGAGCACCATGGTTTTAGGAACAGAGTCAGTCGATAGAAATCCTCTGATTTTAGTGAACTACCATGATCTTCCGCACATTCAACGCGAGGTTCAATTTACACTGGTTTTGCATAGCCTGGTATATAAAATGCCAAAAAGGTAAGCTTTATAAGGATCCAGTTTATCGTGATCTCGCCTTGACGGAATTCAATTGGTCAACTTCACTTTTTCAAAAATATTCGATTAAAATCGCATATCGGGGATAGATTTTGGAAATGTATTATGGTAAAGTGAATATAACCCTTCCATACCGTTTTTATTTTGTTTTTTTTTATTATTATTTTTACAGTTGCCTCACACTGGGATTTTCTCCTGTGTCGTAGGTGCGTTTACAAACATACAAGTTCACATACACATGACACCGAGACCCGGAACAACAATCTGTGGATCACACAAAGACTTGTTCCGTGCGAGAATGGAACCTGCGACACGTTGCGCGGCAGCCAGTTGCCGAACAACAAAGTCAAAGTCAATGCATTTATTTCATTTAAACCATAATTTGGTACTTGTGAAACGTCAACAAATACAAAATAAATAATAGTCTGTCAGTGAAGCTAGGTGAAGCTAGGTGCTCATTCCAAAATGTAGATTCGAATGGAGAAGAACGAGCAAGAATCTCCATTGCCACTGCGCCAACTGAGCAATTCGACCGTTAGTACATAGGGGGCGTCCATAAATTATGTGAGGTGTTTTTTTTTGTCGAATCCTCCCTCCCCCCTTGGTGTGATTTCGTGAGATTTTATTCAACACCCTCCCCCATCCCCCAATCTCACGTGAGATTTTTCAAAATGTTGGTTTTTCACGTAAACGCGTTGGATTGTTATTGCAAAAAGAAAAAAGATCCATGTGTATGTATGTACAATTAAATCTTAGCATGTACCACACTTTATAAGTGTGGGAGAGCCATGCTTCGGCACGAATGGGCCGGCTCGACCGGAGTGATACCACGGCCGAGCAGAAAACCGTCGTGAAGCAACGCTTGCGTTGTTTCGTCGTGTGAGTGAGGTTACCGGACGCCCAATTACCCCTTCCCCAATTCCTGAATCCCCAACGATTCTCAAACTCCTAATCCCCAAAAGGCCGGTAACGCACTTGTAACGCCTCTGGGGTTCCAGGTGTCCATGGGCGACGCCGATTGCGTACCATCAGGTGATCCGTCTACTCGTTTACCGGCTTATGACATAAAAAATATATATACAATTAGGAATAAATGAATTATGAAGTCGGTAAAAATAATATAATTATTTTTTGTTTCTATCAGAAAAAAAATTACGTGATATTTTTCGCGACCCCCCCTCTCTCCAACGTAAGATTAGATGAGATTTGAGTCTACCCCCTCCCCCCTTAAACATCTCACGTAATTTATGGACGCCCCCATACTGGTATATACTGGTTTTCAAATAAAACAACAAAGTTAAGGTTTAAAATAAAAATATTTTATTTTCCAAAAAAAAAATAATTTAACATGATCATTTTACTTATATATTATACTGTATGTAGGTTGGTTAACATTATGTCACTACGTTTTTTTTTTAATTAAAAAAACAACATACTGCTGTGGCGGTGTATCTTGGAACTAACATCGCGCGCCAAAGACCATCATAATATCGAATAATATCATTTTAAAGACAACATTGTTATTTAAACTGTCAAACACCAAGCGGTCACCGGTGACCGCAACCTATTGTTCTATAATTGTGTCTACAAAACCGGTACTCGACGAGTTAACTGCGTTACACTTCACTTGGGTGTCACATACCCGAGGTATATCCAACATTCCTTATTCTTCACCAACCTCTCCTAAATTAACCCCTACGTTGAGTGAAATTTAAAGATATTTTTGTGTTTACAAATCTATAAGTGTCACCTAACAGGACCAGTAAGAGGTTACATTAGGTTACGCTCAGTAACTTTTAATTAAGATATGGTTTAGGAGTGGTCGATAAAAACAGCCATATTTATTTCATCAATCCGCTAAGACACCGAAAAATCATACATTGCGATGTTCATAACGAATTTTTCTTTCCGGAAACCATCCCCAGCTGTTCACCAAGGCAAATTGTTATCAATTCTCATGTCTCAGGTCTAAAATAGCTTGACTATTAGTGATAAAGGCTCACTAAAGAAATTTGTAATTTATTTCCATTCATTAAGGTCTAAAATAGCTGTCTATTTGTGAGTAAGGCGCGCAATGTAAATGTACTACTTAAAAACTAGTTGATTCACTTGGATTTCGCCGCTTCTTCGGCCTCAAGTCGTTTGCGCATGGATTCGGGCATCTCCGCTGGTGGTGGGCGTGGCATACGGAGCCATACCTGTAAAAGAAAAACGATTTTGAAACCTATGTCTAAAGGTTTATAGTTGATTTTTATTCGGGTGTGATTTCTCATGAATTTTGCTGTCCACATTTTTATTTCGGTAGGAACAATTGGTTATTTGTTTAATCATTGAATATTATTTATTGTTATTTTTGTAAAATAATCTTTATATATATAATTCTTCTGTGAGTGTGTATGTCACTGAACTTCTCTCAAACGACTGGACGAATTTAGATGAAATTTTTTGTGTGTGTTCAAGGGGATCTAGGAATGGTTTAGATTCACAAATCAGCCCGGCAGATGGCGCTGCAGTCGAATTTAGGTTATTTATCCTAAACAGCTGAACTAATTTGAATTAATTTTTGTTCATACATTCAAGTGGATATGCAGGACAACGTCTGTTGAGTCCGTTAGTACTGAATATTTTAATAATATTTCGTTCAAGATTCGAACGCATAATAGAGGGTGTAATAGTGTAAACGGAACGCTCGAAAAACGCCGACAGGTGATTTTTTTTTTTGACATGGTGTATTGTAACTCGACGTATTCCTCTCGAGAGGTGATAGTACAACTAATTTCCTACAAAATTAGTCCTGAGGTCTCTGGTCCGAAAGTGGCTAGTTTCTGAGATATTCAACATTTTCGGTTTTGGTGAAAAAATCCCCAATTATTGAGATTTTATTGGATTGAAATTGCATTAAGATTAGTTTCAAGAGTAAGCACCCTGGTCAATCCAAACAAATACTTATAGTTAACAAATACACATTGTGCTAACAATTTTGGAAGAAGATTCCATTTCTGTCGTGTCAATAAAAACGAGGTTAAAACCTAAATTTACCTTGACAGCGTCATAGATGAACCATTGCAGCGCAGTGAGGGTACCGATCATGACGATCCTGGGGCCAAGACCCTTCCATACTCCGGCCCAGCCGAGCTTGCCCATGATACCACCTACTGTTGCGGTCTTGTCCTAGAAATAAAATTAAAATAACGATAAATAAACTGTGTGCTAAACACAGACTTCAAACTCCTTTTCATTTTTAGTCTTTTTTATACATACATAACATCACGCCTTTTATCCCCGAAGGGGTAGGCAGAGGTGCACATCATGTCACTGTTCAATGTAACACCCACTATTCACTATTTATGTTATGAGTCCCATGTAATAGGGGGTGAGCCTATTGCCATATACCGGGCACAATTCCAGATTCCGTGCTACTACTGAGATTTTTTTTTTTATAAACCCAGTAATACTTTGCCCAACCCGGGAATCGAACCCGAGACCCCTTGCCCGACAGTCGCGCTTGCGACCACTCGGCCAACGAGGCAGTCTTTTTTTTAAGGGAGAAAACCATCGGTTGTCTTCTCCCGCCTGGGTGATGCAGGAGGGAGTGTCAGACTCTTACTGACCAAAATCAACCCAGTTCATACTGCTGCACTTCGAGCCGGAGCCCCGGTAACCTGATAAGTCCTGCGCGGCTCCGTATCGGCATCAGTCATAATGGGCCCCATCTATTATGATCTGATGGCTAACCAGCCATATTGGGCCCCATCTATTATGGTCTGATGGCTAACCAGCTATATTGGGCCCCATCTATTATGATCTGATGGCTAACCAGCCATATTGGGCCCCATCTATAATGGTCTGATGGCTAACCAGCCATATTGGGCCCCATCTATTATGATCTGATGGCTAACCAGCCATATTGGGCCCCATCTATTATGATCTGATGGCTAACCAGACCAGTTTGATGACCCGGCAACCACTATGGTGGTCTGTGGCCTGGTCATACTTAAAATTGATAATATTAACATATTGTTACCTGGTTCAGCTTAGATACGACGGTGTCAGCAGGGTGTGAGACGATGGCGCAGAAGACACCAGCGATGTATCCAGCAGCGAAGGTGACCACCAACTGCTCGCCCTTCGTGCACTGTTCACGGGGCTTGGGGACCACATACTGAGGGCAAAAATATTCATAAGTACACATAGCAATTATTATTTATTATACTATACAATGTTTTGCCCGCGTTCCAGTGGGAAAAGTACTTAAAGTAGCCTTAGGAATGCTGCTCATGAATATGAGTGTCTAGCATGGCTTGAAACTAGTCCAGTTCCTCGTCAAATAGTAAAAATCAAATCAAAAAAATTGGCATCATGACGTAACATCCCGCCTTTTATCCCCGAAGGAATAGGCAGAGGTGCACATTACGGCACTTTATGCCACCGTACAATGTGACACGTAACACCCACTTTTCATTATTTATGTTATGAGTCCCATGTAATAGGGGGTGAGCCTATTGCCATATACCAGGCACTTTTCCAGATTCCAGGCTACAACTTAGAATTTATAACAAACCCAGTACTACTTTGCCCGACCCGGGAATCGAACCCGAGACTCCTTGCCCGTTAGTCGCACTTGCGACAGATAAAGACATCTTTGTCTTTATCTATTAGCAAAAACACGTATTAAAAACGCAGTCCAAAAAAATCCAGGCCAAAAAATTTGTCCAAACTGTAATCAAACCTACGACCCTTGCAATTAAAATCACATCTTAATGAACAGTCCTACCTTGTAGAGCAGTTCCAGGGTCTTCTCGAAGCAGGCGAACTTCATCATGGTGTACGGGATCTGTCTACCCCATAGTGGTGCCAGGCCCTTGTAGAATGTTCCGTAACCTTCATTCTGGACCATCTTAGGCCAGGCCTCACGGAGGGTGGAGGCGAAACCAGGCATCGTCTGGATCCTCACCTGCGAAGTATAATTTTACAACACATTTAAAAAATATATCAATATTCTACCTCTACATACTTTTTAAATATTTTTATAGTTCGAAAAAAACTAAAAACACGCTTTTTGATGTATTATTTTCTCTATTTATATCTAATGAGACCAAACTCGATGTTTACTAGCAAGCAGTCCAATGTTCCATTAGACCAGCTCGATGGTACCATAATATTGTATTGTCATCTAATCTACATACAATAGGGTTTTTTTAAGGGGGGAAAATCATCGAATGACTGCTGCCGCCTGGGTGAGGCGGGAGGGACTGTCAGACTCTTCCTGACTAAAAACCACCCCGTTCCTACTCCTGCACTTCCAGCCGGAACCCCGGTAACCCGTTAGGTTCTCCGCAACTCCAAACATACAATAGGGTAGATGACTAATTTTTATTTATTTTAATGTCCATCTGGTAGATTAGTTTAAAACATTAGACACGTATTTTTAATTTTTTTACAGAAACGAATACTTTAGATGATATTATATCGATTTGAAATGTCACGTGACGTCACTTCTATGTACATTTTATACGTAGAAATGACGTTTTAGCCCCCACTCCTAAACTTTGATTCGTTATATCTAAGTATCATTTTATTATACAACAAAATAAAAAAATACGTGTCTAATATTTTTTCATTACCTAACTGACGGACTAATTAGATTTTTAATTTTCATACCCTGTCATCATACCTATTGCCAGGTTTATGGTGGTACAACAACTAGAAGTGTGTGTAATTCAGATTGTTAGATTTAGATGTAAAAGAAGCGTGTTTGTGCCCTCAGATCTCATAATCTCATGGTCACCGGGCAACTCCGTCGCGCGACCGGCCACGCTGCGTGCACAGGGCGCCGATATCTACACGACGCCGGCACGGCCACGCGACGGTCTCCCTCGAGCGCATTTTTTTCGTCATAGGGCGTATTTAAATATTTTGTTAATAGAAAATGTACTTCTAAAGAGAGGTGTGGTTTTTTTATGAGATAAACCTGGAACACCAGAGGCGTTACAAGTGCGTTACCGGCCTTTTGGGATCCGGAATTTGAGGATTGTTAGGGATTCAGGGATTGGGAAAGGTGGGAGGGGTAATTGTGCCTCCGGTAACCTCACTCACACGACGAAACACAACGCAAGCTTTGTTTCACGTCGGTCTTCTACTCGGCCGTGGTATCACTCCGGTCGAGCCGTTCCGAACCATGGCTCTCCCACACTTAAAATCCACCCGTATCTTACCAAAATAATGTATAAATTACCTTGGCAGCTTCTAGGGGCGACAGCGCAATGTCAGCGAAGAATTCAGCTGATGCTGAAGCGGCGAGGTATACTCCGGTACGGTAAGTGTAAGCCGTCTCCTCATCCAGAAGACCACTGTAAGTCACTTTGAAGACCTCATACAGACCGAATTTGCAAAGACCCTGGGAAAGAAAGAGAGAGAAAATTAAGTAAGTGTAATTATGTACTTGTTAGAAAGAGATAGATAATTTTCGCTCATAAACGTTTCGTCTTCAGTTCTTTTCAGTAGGAACAATTGGATAATTTGGTTTAATCATTGTGAAGAGACTAATGTACTTAATAATAAAAATACTAACTTTTTTATTCAGTAAAAATTTCGATATTTTCCATGACTAACTCCTTAAACTGTCAAACACCAAGCGGACACCGGTGACCGCAACCTATTGTTCTATAATTGTGTCTGCAAAACCGGTACTCGACGAGTTAAACAGCTACAATACTTAAGAAAACTACATTTAGCTTGCTATGCGCAGTAATCACAGCTTTATTTTGAGGACAACGCCACTTCAACCCCCCAAAACCGTGCCCTGCAACTTCCATGCCCCAGGATCTACAGTAGATACAACCATGAAAACACCGGAACACTGAAGTCCGGCGCGTCTCAGGGACATGAGTAACTGTCTTGGTTCCCGCAACGAACTGAATTAGGAGATATTATTAGAGAAAAATAATATTTTTTTACACTCTTTGGCCAAGCTAGGCTACCAAAAATGTGGTCTGATTCTCACCTGGAGTGAGTATCCGATGAAGGTGGGCGCCCATCCCTTGGCGAGACCTCTGACGCCCTCCTCAGCCACGGAGACCTTGAATCCGTTGACAACATTCTTGTACTTGTCAGGGTCTACCTGGAGACGGCACTTCACCAGATCCAGGGGCACTACGGCTGTGTGGGTGATACCTGGAAAAAAAAAAATATTTGTTGAAACTTTTTTTAAGGAGGAAAATCATCCAATGGTTTCTCCCGCCTGAGTGAGGATGGGAATGCGCGATTACGTGTTCGAATACTAGAAGTCAACCAACAAGTAAGTATAAAAAAGTACACCATCTGGGTTTTGCCGAGTTTGGAGCAATGTACACAAAGTTAAGGCATTGACTGCCAATAGAAAACTGTTGAAAGCAAATCCTCCGCTAACTTCGGTCACCGGTGACCCCCATGGCGTTTAATGTGTTGAGCGCGTATTTTACGTAGTAGATACTTCATAAACTTAAATAGTTTCCTACTACTTTTGTCAATTTTGTTTCAAATATTAACTAAAACTCAAATGTTGCCTAAAAGTCAAAGCATACATTTCAATTAATCCTTAAATATGCACTTTTGATACGTCAAATTGTCAATGAAGCTAGATTCTCTTAGTCATTAGATTCCGACTTATCATACTTTCTAAAATTACACATTTTTCCTTTCGTTGACTTTCCTTAATCTTTAGGTTATCAAGTAAGTCGAGCACGTGACGGCAATCGCTCATTTTGATAACAAACCCTAATCACGATCTGCAATTACGTAATCATAAAATGTGTCAGTATTACTTACTGTACTGGTAAGGACAAAATCTTATCATAAAATTACATTAATTACATATAATGAAAGAATAAGCTAATTTTACTAAAGATATTGTAAAGAGGATGGTTGACAGACACTTCACGTGATCGAACGTCTGTCTACAACCTTGGGCAAAGGTTAAGCATTGCTATTCAACGTGGCAATGCTGTCAGCCAGTCTTTTGGGCACCCTACCTACTATCCTGAGGATAGTGATGAGGAAAAATTATTATTTTATTGATGCCTTTTGCTTTTTTTAAGGGGGGAAAATCATCAAATGACTTCTACCGTCTGGGTGAGACGGGAGGGAGTATCAGACTCTTACTGACTAAAAACCACCCCGTTCCTTCTCCTGCACTTCGAGCCGGTACCCCGCGCCCCGGTAGTTAGGTTCTCCGCGGTATGCCTTATGCTTAAGATTACTTTCTGATTTCTGATATTTTTTTAAGGTATAGACATCCGAACACCAGAGGCGTTACAAGAGCGGTACCGGCCTTTTGGGAACAAGGAATCTGGAGAATTGTTGAGGATATAAAGATTGAGGAGAATGGGAAGGGGGTAATTGGGCCACTGTAATTGGGTTTAAATGTGTGCATCGTATATTATTACATCATAATTACTATATTTTAATTTTAACAGGATATCCGTCGCTAACTGTACTTATGTTACAAAATCAATACTTATCATAATATTATATGTATGATAAGCAGTAATTACAAGTAAATTGATAACATAATAATTTATAGACACGTCTAAATTAAATGCAGTACTTGATTAATTACACATAACAGTTCAATTTTATATTGTTTAAGTCGTTTTTTTGGTATTCTATGTAGAAGTACGGACTGTGATGAGTTAGAATAGACTGGACCTTGTTACAATTATTGTCACTAAAAATCAACTTAGTAATCGGTTTAGTAGTCGTTTAATATACTAAAATCTGTTCCTAAATGTAATAAACACTTTCCTGAATACTGCATCAAGATCGGTTCAGTCAATCACGAGATCGCAACCCCTAATGAAACAGCCAATTATGTTTATCCATGGGTCTCGGCTGGGTTTTTTTTTAATTCTCAGTAATAACACGGAGTCTGCAATTGTGCCCGGTATATGGCAATAAGCTCACCTCCTATTACATGGGACTCATAAAATAAATAGTGAAATGTGGGTGTTACACTGTACAGTGGCATAATATACACCTCTGCCTACCCCTTCGGGGATAGAAGGCGTGGTGTTATGTTATGATTTTCAATTTTATTACATCGACATAAGGTCGAAAATACAATGAAAAAGACGGATTGGGGAATGTTGATCTGGTGGTCACTGCACAACGTATATATATTATCTTCTATACACAATATAGCAACATTTCCGTGCGTTCCAATAAAGTGTGACGTCACCCAACAATTTTGGGCCAATGCCAACGCAATCCTAGTACAATCGGATCACGAGACTTTGGACCAAATGTTGGACGAAACATTGGAACCAATTAACCAACGTCTGCTTGCATTCTGAATGATAAGTTGTACATCCCACGTGTCTATTATGACCTTTGACCGTCTCGATAGCGTGATCTCGGGTCGAGTAAAGTAATATTTAGGTTTGTGGGTATTAGTAATAGTAAATTTAATAGCAGAGAGATTCTTTTTTATTTAAAAAGAATTTTCTCCTGTGTCGTGGGTGCGTTTACAAACATACAAGTTCACATACACATGACACCCAGACCCGGAACAACAATTTGTGGATCACACATAGATTTGTTCCGTGCGGGAATCGAACCTAGCGCGGCAACCAGTTGCCCAAGCACCGCGGCAACCGTGCTTTCTTGTGTGTATTACTGTGTAGTTTGTCACCAGCCCCTCCCTCTTCCCGCGGGTATCGTATATCCATTGGACTGCCACAGTAAATATCTGTATTATCTAATTCGGATAGTACAACTTTGATATCCTTATTATCCGGAGAGCAAAATTAACGAATAATTGGAAGCCGGTTCCTAGGTACGAAACACGAATACAAACGAGGTAATGTAGTCAGTAAGAATCTGATACTCTCTCCCGCCTCAGAGCAGGAATCATTTTATAATTATCACTCTCAAAATAAAGGTGCGGTGGCTGGACAACCGGCTGCCGTTCAACGTGTCGCGGGTTCAATTCCCGCACGGAACAACACTTTGTGTGAACCACAAATTGTTGTTTCGAGTCTGGGTGTCATGTGTATGTAAACTTGTATGTTTGTAAACGCACCCACGACACAGGAGAAAATCCTAATGTGGGGCAATGTTTTAAAAAAAAAAGCCCATTTTTACTCGAACCATGGTGCCCAGGCCTAGGAATTTAGTTGAGCGTCGTTTTTTTACGCTGTGACGACGATTTTTTTTTTTTTGGAATTAAAAGTTACATACAAATTAACTGTTTTTCTTTCGTGAAGAGATTTTGAACTTAAGAGTATTTTTTAAGGGGGGAAAATCATCGAATGGCTGCTCCCGCCTGGGTGAGGCGGGGGGGAGTGTCAGACTCTTACCGACTAAAAACCACCCCGTTCCTTCTCCTGCACGTCGAGCCGGAGCCCCGGTAACCCGTTAGGTACTCCGCGACTACGGAACTTAGAGTATTGAGTCTAGTCGTTAGTCGACACACTGACACAGAGATATCATAAATAAACTAAGTAGTGATAAGTATTACGTCATTCACACATTATGAAGCGCTAATCGATGTCTCTACGGTTAAGGAAAACATCGTGAGGAAACCTCGGGGCTTACTCTTGAATCAAATTCCGATCGATCTACATTGGTATTGTGAAATTTCATACTCTCGAGTTGCAACACTAGCGCCCATTACAGTCGTATTGCGTAAATATTGAATGAACTAAATTGTATTGATTTTTTTTTTATATTCCGCACTCTGAATGCTATTTTAACAGCTTCGATAGGGGTTGTATAGTTTTGACATTGAATATTTATTGAGATTTTTATTGGATTGACATTGAGATTGGTTTCAAGAGTAAGCACCCTAGACTTATCATTTCTAATTACAAGTTTTAAATCGCCAACCCGTAAAGCGTGGTGATTAATGCTCAAACTTTCTTCGTGTGAGAAGGCCTTTGGTCAGCAGTGGCCACTTATAGGCTGTTGATGTAATGACGATGAAACAATAGTATATTTATGCAGCATACCAAGATACACCGTTCTGTCGTGGTTCTGTCCATGCTTGTCAATAGATTTCAAACTTTATCATTTAGAAATAAAGTTAAAAATGTAAATCCATGCTCCATTTAAAACACTAGTAATCAATTCAATGACGACCCTAATTTTGTTTGGGCGTCAAAAAATAGTAATAATCTGATTCTTCTTGCACGCATTTCAAAACTTACAAAGCCATAAACTCACTGATTTCATTTTATAATCTGTTAAAGTTTACATTTTGGCGCGAATCTTAAGCACAGATTATAAATAATCAGCTGTTATCACATTATCTATGGGTTGAGCATAGATAAAATACATAGATAATAAATATTATTTACTACTTTAGGTTATTGTTCAGAAAAATAGTTTACATGAAAGTGTCATGTTCTAGTCGTTCTAGTAATTTTTATATTGTTGCTGTATACAATTAAGTTTATTCTATTTATGCCTGTTCCTCTCTTAACACCTTGAACGCCATGGGGGACAAGGTATGGGCCACGATAGCGGAGGATTTAGTCTCAACAGTTTTCTGTCGGCAGTCAAAGGCTTATGTTGTAAGGAACCCCTAAACTAAGATAGGTGATATTTAACGACATTTTGGTTTGATCACCTACCTATACGTGGTTAAGTAACTCTTAGTTAAGATATGGTAGTTGATAAAAACGGCCATTAGTGTTTTCCACCGATACTGACGTAGGTATTACCTTACGTATATACAGTACAATGTCTGTACGCGACATTGATACTACAATGACCCTTGGCTAATCGCCACATACATCCACCTTGACAGCTGTTCTCTATTTAAAGATACAAAACAAAAAATAAATGTTACATTTTTAAACATAGAATTTTAAATGCAACCTCTTTTGTCTAGTGACATACTTTTCTGTGGCGCCACTGTTGAAATTAATATTTGGGCAAAAACATTATGTTTCATAAATGTCGTACTGGCCCGGAGTTTTAAGACGCCCGCTTTTCATGCATGAGGGTGCGGTGTCGAAACCTACCAACGGCAAGTACCAATGTGACTTTTTCCGAGTTATATGTACTTTCTAAGATTATTCAGACACCAATGACAAACGGTGAAGGAAAACATCTTAAGGAAACCTGGGCTTATAATGTCTAATTATAGGTTTGAAATCGTCAACCCGCAATGAGCAAGCGTGGTGAAGGTTTCAAGGTTGTTTTTCACTGTTCTTGTGTAGCAATTGTAACAATGCGACCGTATGTTGTTAAATAGTCGTCATCATATATCATCCATCTTAATGGTCCAGCTCATGCGAGTCATATACTGGACTATTGGTCTCCTCTCATCTTCACACTTAGCATGCGATTTGGAGATCGCATCAGGAAGAGTAAAGGTATTAAATAGAGAACAAAATAAAGGATTGCAACCCAATGAGTTTTTATGCAACCGCATGCAGCCTGGCTAGCTTCATAGACAGACGAATGGACAATTCAATTTTTGACGTTTCAAAAGTGCCTAAGGGCTTGTACACAAACCTACGATGCAAATTGCTGCGATGCAATTTCGTGCGACAAGGCGTCTCCCAGGGTGACCATTCCTTCGACGACCGGCCACCGTACTAAACGTATTTTAAATTGAAAACTAGGTCGTGACATGAGTCGTAAAAAGAAGTGTGCACTTCTGTTATTGCTTAAGAGATACAGGAAAACGAAACCAAGAAAATTTCGGGAAGATAAGATAAGACGATGCGTAGAGGGAACTCGCACATATTTGCGATGCGACGTCGCATCGCAGTTTTGTGTACGAGCCCTAATTAACGATTAATGGAAATAAATGCTTTCGCTATGAAATTACAAACTTACCGCAGGAAAGGATTCCTCCAAGACCGCACAGAGCGAAGTATTTGGGGGAGGCGAACTCGCAGGAGTCGCCCTGGACCACGGCAGCGGCCGCCATACCGCTGGGCTGTGGACAAATCGTAACAATTCGACATTAATACACTTCTTGCGTACTCCAATATTATAAAACTGAAGACTTTGTTTTACTATTTTATATTTTTTTTTGTGTTAGATAGTCGAGTAATTGAGGTAAGCGTAACACCACGCCTTTTTATCCCTGGAGGGGTAAGCAGAGGTGCACATAACGGTATTTAATGCCACTGTAGAATGCAACACCCACTTTTCACTATTTATGTTATGAGTCCCATGCAATATAGGGGGTGAGCCTATTGCCATATACCGGGCACAATTCCAGACTCCGTTCTACTACTGAGATTTTCTTTTAAATCCAGTAATACTTTGGCCGACCCGGGAATCGAACCCGAGACCCCTTGCACTTGCGACCACTCGGTCAACGAGGCAGTCTAAATTGATATCTTAATCAAAGAAAGCAGGTCTATAAAACACCCCGCTGCGATCAATCCACAGATTGTTGTTTCGGGTCTGGGTGTCACTGTGTATGTGAACTTGTATGTTTGTAAACGCACCCACGACACAGGAGAAAATCTTAGTGTGGGGCAAAATTAAAAAACAAACATGGACGGAGCAGTGGATGAAACCCACTGTATACTTGACAAGTAGAAAATACTCCATTATTAAATTACATGATAGACTGACTTGAATTGTTTTCTTTAAGTGACGTATTGCATTGTACTGATAACGGCTTTGTTGCTATGTAGCATTACTTCGCACCATTAAGAATACATTTTTGACTCATTTTTTGAGGTAGGGTAATCATCGAATGACTGCTCCCGCCCGGGTGAGGCGGGAGGGAGTGTCAGACTCTTACGGACTAAAAACCACCCCGTTTCCTACTCTGTTCGAACCGGAGCGTTTGACTACCCTGGGTAGAAAAAACATCGGAAAAAAAGGACTCCGAGTGTTGTACTTTAGACTCATCCTTACTATTATAAATGGGAAAGTGAGTTTGTTTGTTTGTTTGTTTGTTCCAACTTCACGCCGTAACTACTAAACCGATTGCATTGAATTTTTGCAGACGTAAAGTTAGTAGTCTGGATTAAATAATAGGGTACTTTTTATCTCGAAAAAAATTGATATTCCCGAGGGAAAACAAAAGTATTGGTATAGATGGCGCTGTATGTATTGGTATATGTCACATAGACTACTTTTATCTTTTTGTGACGCAAGCGAAGCCGCGGGTAAAAGCTATCCTTACTTCCTTTCCTTACTATTATAAATGGGAAAGTGAGTTTGTTTGTTTGTTTGTTCCGACTTCACGCCGTAACTACTAAACCGATTGCATTGAATTTTTGCAGACGTAAAGTTAGTAGTCTGGATTAAATAATAGGGTACTTTTTATCTCGAAAAAAATTGATATTCCCGAGGGAAAACAAAAGTATTGGTATAGATGGCGCTGTATGTATTGGTATATGTCACATAGACTACTTTTTATCCTTTTGTGACGCGAGCGAAGCCGCGGGTAAAAGCTAGTATAAAATAATATAGAAAACAGTTCAAGTTCGTTCTGTAGTGGTATTTTGAAGAAAAACAACATTTTATAGTAATAATATTTTGCCGTCCTACGTGATATTACGCTCTCAACAGTTATCGAACATGCATGAAAATACTGCAAAAATTATACATACAAATGCGAATAGTTATTGAGGAAAAATATCATAGCAAATACATAGATATTATAATAAATAAATAGCCATTTATTTTTAACCTTATTACAACGCCCTCAGCTCTCATAATCTATTGATCATTGGGCACCTGCAGTCACGTCGAATGCATCAGCCACGTTGTCGTGATACCACGACAAGACGACGCATTCACATCGTCGACGTGACGCATACGACACGACTGCCCCCCTCTGGCATGAGTTTTCATCATTGGGCGAGGTCAAATATCTATTAATTTTGTAAATTGATGAACTATATTCTCTCAAATCGTATTATATTTCTATAATTGATGGAGTAAATGGCTATTACGATGAGCTTGTACACTGCATTCGGTAAGTGTATGAAAATTAGCGCGAAAACTTTACATGTGTGATGCAGGACTGTTTGACGTATCAATTCATCTGTCAGTGTCAAAAATTATTGCTCTATTCTTTTTTCATAGACTGGCCAGTGTTAGTTTGAATTTGCTAGTGAAGGAAATGTTGCCACATAAATAAATATTTTATGAATTGACTTTTTCGATTACGCGCCAAATTATAAAATTACTTGTGAGACAGAGACGTCAAACACAAAACAATAACGGACCTAAATACTTGCTTATTTTACTGTAAAATAATCATGACGAATTTATTCATGCACGCACATTTGAATTTTAAATACATTTAGCCTAAAAGCATATTTTAACTAAATTTACTGAAGTAGTAGCAATTTCTAAAATATTATTATCTTATTCTCAAATATTATCATCTACTTAGGCAGTATGTGTGAGTCATTGTACGCCAAAAACACGTCTATCCTTAATGACGTGTCTAATTGAATGCGAATGATCACTAACACACGTGTATCAGTCGGGGATATAGTTAAGCGCATGCGCTGTCAGTCTGTTTTCCAACTACCGCACTATCTATTTATTATTTATCTTCAGTTCAAGTTCAAGTACAAAATAATTACTGGAGTATAATCATTTTATCGCGATATTCGAACGAAAATAAGTAATGATACCCCTAGTTTCGTGTTTCAAGGACTTTTTTGATTAATCTTTTTTGATGACGAGCGCCAAGCTCAACTGACAGACCATTAACATTTTTATTTTAGTAAGTTTTGTAATTAGTATAATGCGTCAAGCGTGTCTTTGCATTGTTCTCACATATACGTACAGTATTGGAATATATATCAGATACATTATAAAACAGACTTTTGAAAAGAGTAACGAATGAAGTTTCTCGCTCGTTCTTCTCCATTCCAATCTACATTTTGAAATGAGCACCTAGCTTCACTGACGGACTGACTTACAGACTATTATTTATTTTGTATCTGTTGATGTTTCAAAAGTACCAAATTATGGTTTAATTCAAATAGATGCTTTTTCACAGACGAACGGGCAATTTAATTTTTGACGTTTTAAAAGTGCACAATTAAGGATCAATTGTCTCTCGAGACTCGGTTGCCAATTAAAAAAAAGGATCAATTGAAATAAATATTTTGACTTTGACTTTGATTTGAATTACCTGTTCGATGGCCGGTGTGAGGTCTGTGGATTGACACTGGGCGGGTGTCATCGGGCCGCGGAATGGCGAGTTCCGCGCCATATCTACCAGGGACGAGAACATTATTCTGTAACAAAACACAAACATATTAAATATATAAATAACTAGCTTCTACCAGTGGTTTCGTCCGCTTTCCTGGCATTTTTTTTAAATGCTGCCCCACACTATGATTCTCTCCTGGGTCATGGGTGCGTGCGCCCAGACCCGAAACAACAATGTGTGGATCATACAAAGAGTCACTCCGTGCGGGAATCGAACCCAGAACCCACTACAAGTTGCCCAAGTACTGCACCAACCGTGCAGTCATAAATACCTCATTTGTTATCTATCTCAGTAGCAAATTGTATCTACATTTATCCAGTAGTTTTAGATATAATCGTGCCACATATCCTAACAAACTTATGCATTTATAATATTAATAGTGTTTTTACAGGTAGGCAGAGGTGCACTGCACATTACGGCACTTAATGCCACTGTACAATGTAACACCCACTTCACTATTTAATTTATGAGTCCTATGTAATAAGGGGTGAGTCAGTCAGAACAACTTACAGTAAAAATTTCCAAAAAGGTCTAACAAACGGCTTCTCTAAGTTATCTCTAATACCACAGATTAATTATACTAATACTCAATAAGGGGGGAGGGCGTAGACGTTAATCTCATCTAATCTTACGTTGGAGAGGGGGGGGGGGGTCTCGGCAAATAATGCCTCGTTACCCAAGTGGTCGCAAGTGCGACTGCCAGGAAAGGGGTCTCGGGTTCGATTCCCGGGTCGGGCAAAGTATTACTGGGTTTTTAAAATATCTCAGCAGTAGCACGGAGTCTGGAATTGTGTCCGGTGTATGGCAATAGGCTCACCCCCTATTACATTGGACTCATAACATAAATAGTGAAAAGTGGGTGTTACATTGTACAGTGGCATAATGTGCACCTCTGGGGAGGTGTTGAATAAATTCTCACCAGGAGGAGAGGGGGGCCAGAAAATTAAAAAAAAAACCACCTCACTTATTTTATGTACGCCCCCTAAGCTATACAGCCTATGTGTAATCTATTATGTTTGCATCCATATTTTTACTAATCTACAAAATACTGAATAGTTTGTTTGTTTAAACATGGTAATCTCTGTAACTACTGGTTTGAATTTAATCATCATTATCATCATCATCATCATCAACAGCCTATAAGTAAGTAAGCCCACTGCTGAGCAAAGCCTCTTCTCACACGGAGAAGGTTTGAGCATTAATCACCAAGCTTGCTCAATGCGGGTTGGCGATTTCAAACTTATAATTAGAAATTCTAAACCCAGGTTTCCTCACCATGTTTTCCTATCTGGTTGTCTGTGGTGTCTAAATAATCTTAGAAAGAACATATAACTAGGAAACAGTCACATTGGTACTTTCCGTTGGTAGGTACGAACCCACGCCCTCATGCATGAGACGCGGGCGTCTTGAATCTTCGGGCCACCACGACGTTTTTATCGAGGAAGGCCCTATAGGCTATTAAATATCACACTACCAACAATAGGGCCCGAGCAGAGCAGGTGAAATCGCGCGAGAATAGGTAGTGAGTCATATCATGCCTAAGTACTTTTATGAATGGAAAATTTTCCACTTTACTCAACTTTTATTATAATGAACGTAAAAACTTGCATAGTTACATCATGTTTAATATTGCTGTAAAACAAAGAAGAAAGAAAGAAAGGAAAATTGTTTATTAACACCGTAACAAACAAAAAAAACAAAGAAGAAAATACAATAAAAAATTGTAAAAGTGTTGCCGGCGCAAAAAGGCCAAGTGCTCAGCTGAAATGCCGTGACCCGAGAGCTGACTAAAAAAAGATGGCGAAAAGAGATTTATCACCCTTTTCTACAAACCACCCCAAAACCATCTCCTAACTAAGAGTTACTTAGTGTACAGGAGCATCTACACTAACCCCTTTATTGTACTTTTAGGTCTAACTTATATGTTGGTAAAACCCATAATGTTTTTATTTGTCGCCTATCTTAGGTTAGGGATACCTTAAAATCTAGTACAGGTTCGTGAAAACAGAGATTAGAGCACTTTTCACCAGCTTTGTACTGAACTAAATTATTTGTTATAATTTTACTGATGTTTGACAGTTAAATATCCTTGCAATATATATCGTTGGAATGACAAACCTCAGAATGGGTCTTAGGAATTTCTTTTGTTAATGAGCAGAACTTATCTCCTAACACCACCACAATATCAAAACTCCAAGTTATTAAAACAAAAAACAGAATTGTACTTTAATCTATCAACAAAATACAAGACCTGCTTAGCCAGCCAGCCAGGCAAAATACAGGCTGGCATAACATAAGATTGCCTATAAGACCAAGTTATACAATCAACTAAGTTGCTACAGTTGTCTTGAAACTAGGTCGATCAATACCTATCATGCTGCAAAGAGGATTGACCTCCAGGTAATATTTTAACTGAAATATCATTCATATTTTCAGAATACATCAGTTTAAACTACATAATTTTATTTACTTAAAGTCATAATTTCATTCATAGATGTGTATAATCTGTATTTTTAAAAAATAGGTAACTATAGATAACAAATGTTGATAACTATTTGGTTTTTTTTTTCACTGCAGTCCTGATCATTATAATTTATTATTTCCTTTTTTTAGTTTAGTAAGGAATTACAGAATCAACCAATAGGAGAATTTGTTGAAACTTTTTTAATAGATATAAATATCATTTGTAGATAACTAAGGTTTTGAGATAGGTAAGTAGATTATGTGTAATATTATTGACAAAGTGTAAAGTGCATAATTTTAATATTAAAAAAGCAGTCAGGAAATGGCAGACCCTTAAAAGACCAATGACCTAGACATCAAAAGAGAGTCAAAAAAATATAAAAAATATTCGATTCTGTGCTAAACGTAATGACTAGAATTACGAAACACTGAAAATCAATGCCATTGTCACTGCTGACAGCGAACAAATGAAGGTTAGGTAACGAAATTAAGATTTTTGATTTATGTTTTACTACAAAGCTAATTAGTTATTAAAAACTGATTTTTAAATAAATTAATAAAAAAATCATGATAAAATGTCGAAATTAATACGTAAGCATAGACTGCAGTGCCTATTTTTTTTAATCAATACCGCTTAGAACCGGGCAAACGTCGGTTTCAGCCTACGAGATTTGGCAAATTAACACTCATTATTGTACTGAATCGACAAATGCTGGTAATTTCCATGACTTTAATAATAAAATTTAGAATATCAAAATAAGATATGGGGCAAGGTCACGTGCAAACATAATTTCATTAACGTTACGTAAGGGAAACACCACGGAATTATTGTCCAGTATTGTCTGTAAGAAGTATTTTCCAAAGAAATTCTGAAAGAGAAACTCTAGCTAAACTATAGAAGTGTAGTAAAATAATAGTTTTCTTTACTTACATGTTTTAAATCCGATCGAAACTACTCAACACACCGTGAACACACCACACCGCGCCTGACGCACAGTGCTAAAGGAAACAGATGTGACAATGCCAGCGCCATAGCGGATGTTACATAATCACGTGTAGTGTTTTTATATTGGCAACACTGATTTATGAATGTCATTCCTAGCAAAAAGTTTAGTATTTAGTATTTATGATCTAGTGAGTTCTTATTCCCTCTCTTATACTTGGATCTTTAACCTTTTGAACGCCAGAGCAAAAACACATGAACCTGCCTTCGACACCAAGCCACAAATTCCACGCAAATTTCTACGAAAGAAATAGGAATTATTTGAATCCCTATTGTATCAACAATAGGGATTCCAATAATTCGTGTTTCTGGTTCCGCTTTTTCTGTCATGTATTTGTGTCGTTGACGTCCAGGGACAGTTTTCGCTTGTCGCGTATATGTGACATTGGCGGTCAAAAGGTTAAATGTATTTCGATAAACCACAAGAAATAAAAAAAATATCAACACAGATACAAGCACATATACAACCTCAAACTTCACAAATTTATATTAGAATATTCTGTGCATTAGGATACTGTATGACTGTTCATATGTCAAAGATAAATTATCAAATGTAAACAGACAATGGAAATATAAAAATGTCAGAATAAATAAACTAAAATAATGCCTAAATTTTAAAATTAAACCGTGAAAAATTATGAGTGATCAAAAACTTAAATAAAAGTCATGGTTTAATTTAATTTTGAAATATTTCGTCCATGCCAGGGTACAGAAAACGTCCATTAGCAAAATGCAATACTAAGTCAAGATTAATTTTAAGAAGCGTTCCGATAAAGGATATACCACATACCAGAAACATTTACATACACGATCATCGTGGAACACAGAATCATTTTGAATCTGATTCATGTTCCTATAGCCGACACCAAGGGTGTAGAGCAAACGGAAAGTGTGCTTTACGTCAACATTACAATAAAATACATAACTCAGATCACCCTCATCATCGGACGAACATACACGGACACGGCCATTGTAACGTAGAGTGTCCAAACCAAAAAGAACCGTATGATGATGAAGAGTGGGATGTAGCAGAGCCATGGGACCTAGATGAGACATGTCAACAAAACGAATTATGGGAAGAAAGTGGACCTTACAAAGTCACAGAACAGTGGGAACGAAGTGGGCCGTGCCAACGGACAGAACGGTGGGAACGAAGTGGACCCTGCAAACCACCAGGACAGTGGGAACAAACCGAACCTTCCAAACTGACAAAACTTTGGGAAAGAACCGAACCATCCAATACGACAAAGCCATGGGAACGAATAGAACCTTGCAAACTAACAGACCCGTGGCAACAAACAGAACAATGCAAACGACCAGAACTATGTGCACGAACCGAACCATGCAAACGAGTAGAAACATGCAGACAAACAAAACCATGGGAACACATAGAGCCAAGTGAACGAACAGGGTGGCAACAAACTGAATCATATGGTCTGAATGAACCATGTCAACCTACAGTAATATGTGAACGACCAAGACGGGACCAACCAGATTCATGGCAACGTACGGAACCATGCGTACCAAGATTTCCATGCGACCAAATATCTACAGGTGAAAGAACTAAACCATGCCAGCTCATAGGACAATCCCAAAGAGCAGATCCATACGGGCCAAGAACACCGTACGAAAGACCATACACAGGCGCAGCAATAGATCCTTACCAACAACAAGGACCAGGGGAACGAGCATACACGTACGAACGAACCAGACCAGAACTATATCAACAAGGACCATATAATCGGCAGGAATCATCGGAACAACGAGTTCTATATGAAAGATCGTATCTAGGAAAAGAAATTGTACCGTGCAAGCCAACCGAACCTTGTGATAGATATACAAGAGATCAGTTAAACCCATGTGCTCAACCAGAACCAAAATTGACAAGGGAACAAATAAACCTATACGTTCAACCAGAGCCATGTCAACCAAGACGGCCATGTGAACGAACATATACAAGAGAAGAAATAAGTCCGAGTACTCGACCAGTACCATGTGAACCTAGACTGCCATGCGATAAAACATATGCCAGAGAAGAAATAAACCCTGGTGCTCGACCAGAGCCATGTCAACCAAGACGGCCATGTGAACGAACATACGGTAGAGATGAAATTAGTCCTAGTACTGGACCAGTACCATGTGAACCTAGACTGCCATGCGATAGAACATATGCCAGAGAAGACATAAACCCTGTGGCTCGACCAGAGCCATGTGTACCAAGACGGCCATGTGAACGAACATACGGTAGAGATGAAATAAGTCCAAGTATTCGACCAGTAACATGTGAACCTAGATTCCCATGCGATCGAACATATGCAAGAGAAGAAATAAGCACAAATTTTCGATCAGAACCATGTCAACTTAGACTGCCATGTGCACGAACAAGAGAAGAAATAAGTCCTAGTACTCGACCAATACCATGTGAACCTAGATTGCCGTGCGGTCGAACATATGCCAGAGATGAAAGAAGTCCTAGTGCGCCACCAGAACCATGTCAACCAAGGCGGCCATGTGAACGAACATACGGTAGAGAGGAAATAAGTCCTAGTACTCGACCAGTACCATGTGAGCCTAGACTGCCATGCGATAAAACATATGCCAGAGATGAAATAACCTCTAGTGCTCGACCAGTACCTTGTGAGCCTAGACTGCCATGCGATCGAACGTATGCCAGAGATGAAATAACCTCTAGTGCTCGACCAGTACCTTGTGAACCTAGACTGCCATGCGATCGAACATCTGCAAGAGAAAACATAAACCCGTATGGCCCACAACCATGTCAACAAACTGGACCAAATGGAATGGAAAGGAGAACAATAAATAATAATACACCATACTGCCAGCAGCTACCTGACAAGGTTCAGCAATTGGTGTTTATTAGACATCCTCAAGCACAGGTACCTGGTGGGCCCTCAGCTTCGAATAAACTCATCCTAACCTACAAGTATCCTCCCCAAAATACGCAGCATCCAGGAGCTATGAGGCAACCACCTGACAAAATTTTTGTATACTACAAAAAGCCTTGTGACGGCACGTGTAAAAACAAGTTATATACCGCTGCAAATCCAGCGACAACTAGAATGCCTAGAAGTGCTACCAGACTAAAACCAACAAACCAACCACAAGCCATAGCCACTAGCAATGAAGCATTATATGAAGCAGAATGTCTAAAACATTCAGGAAGATTAAAAGAATCAAAGGAAGATGGTTCACGTGTTCCTGGAGTCAAATGTAGTTGTAGCGGTGGGGTTAAATTAGATAAAAAATCGAAATGTGCTTGCGATACTGAAACTGATAAAAAAACAAAAAAAGAAAATTCGAAATCTAAAGTTAAATGTGCTTGCGATACAGAAACTGATAAAAAATCAAAAAAAGAAAATTCGAAATCTAAAGTTAAATGTGCTTGCGATACTGAAACTGATAAAGAGTCAAAAATAGATAAATCAAAATCTAAAAACGATTGTTCTTGCGATATTGAATCTGATAAAGAAACAAAATACGAGTCAAAAATAGATAAATCAAAATCTAAAAACGATTGTGCTTGCGATTCAAATAAAAATGCAATTGCACAAAATTCAGACACAAAGGTTGTTGAAAATAACCAGAAATTAGACAAGAAGCAATCAAAAAAAGGTAAATCAAAATCTAAAATCAAATGTGCTTGCGATGTAGATGAACAAACAAACGAACCAGCACCGTGTGGAAACGAATCGTGTGACGCTAATGCCTGTATCTGCCGCTTACCGCCGGCCTATAATCAATACCATGCTTGTACTGGACAGATAAGCGGGAATTGCTATTGTGGCAAAAATAACTAGCCACTGAGTTGTATAGGATAATAAATGTAAATAGCTGACTATTTCCCTCATAAATGCATTTTCATTGAACTGAATAGAAACACTGATGATGTTTCGTTACGTCACTTGAAAACACTGTTCTTGGAATTTTATTATAAGCACGACAATAGGTTATATCCATAGGATATTTCGTCATGATTGGGCTGGCTCGATCGGAATGATACCACGACTTCACAGAAGACCGACGTGAAACAACGCTTCCGTTATGTGCAGCCGTGTAAGTGAGGTTACCCAAACAGAGGGCCAATCCCCCTCCCCTATCCCCAGTCCCCAACTTCTAAATCTCCAGAAAACTAGCAATGTGCTTTTAACTCTACTGGTGTTGCAAATGTCCATGGGTGGCACTTGCTTACCATCAGTTGACGCTATTTTCTTGTTTGCTGACTTATTCTATAAAAAGTGAATATTATTTTTAACACTTTCTTCAACTGGTAACATCGCTATCTAATGTCAAATTTGGAAATACGTTCCTTTCATTTTGCATAATGGCGCCAATTTTTTTCTAAATAATACAAATACGTCTTCAATAAAATATTTTATTAAAATTGTATTTATACTTCAGACTTTTGTGTAGGTCGAGGAGTCCATTTCACAGTTAGGTTTTTCTTTACCTTCTTGGATGGCACAATTAATGTAACTTTCTTTTTCTTGACTGTTGGTGCATCTTCATTCTGAACGTCTTCTAATTGACGAGAAATGTATTTAGTTTTCGGATTACTGAGAGCTGTAAGAAAACAAAAAAAGGATCATAATCTTGATATGTGGAGCCCCAATAATGATACGATGATAGCACTGTCAGCTATACAAAATACAATACGTGGTTGCTGTATATGAATTATTATGTAGGTAACCATTTTTATTTTCATCAATACACTAACAAAGTCGCGATATCTGAGATTGTCGAGACTCCAGGCTCAAAAGTCTAGGGTCGGTAGTCTCGACATTCATAACGATAACATACTGTCGCTAAGTCGAGAATTTCTGTAACAGATTCTAATTGTTTTTGGAACTTTCAGTTCTCTTTACGGTATTTTGAGTTAAATGCTCGGTATCGCAGACTGATTCTATCCCCTACATATTTGATGATCCTACCAGCAGTGGGATATCCCACTCTACCATCATATAATGCAGATTTTTAGTAATAATACAGATGAATACAGTAATTGAAATATACCTGATTTGGGCATACATCCAGATGGACTCGGCTCCTTGTGAGGTGGTGATCGTGATGGTGAACTTGACTTCTTATTCGCTTTGACTACAAAGAAATCAAATCGTGTAAGAAACAGATTATAGCCTGCGGTACTCAGTGCCGTATTATCCCTAAGGCAAACTTGGCAAGTGCCGAGGGAACAGGTATATGACAGGCATATAGGTACGGCGCACCGTACCGGCGGCGTACTGGCGGCGTACTGACGGCGTATTGGCGGCGTCAAAAAAAATAGGGGCACCTTTGAAGTTCTTGCCTGGGGTGTTCTCTAGGATTAATCCACGACATGTAGACAGTAGGTACTTAGGTAGGGTCAGCCTTGCCTAAGTACCTACTGTCATTCTAGTTGTTTCGGAATTATAATTTTACAAGTTTTTTAAGTAGTTTAACATGACTACTTATGGCACTTTCCTAATAAAAAAAAAATCATGTAAATAAAACCTCACTAATGACCTCCCTAATCCCAAAAAAACTTATATCGGTCCATGTGCCGAACACTCGCACACACAGTATATTACTGCACAGTTCGCGCAGTAGTTGGATGACCAGCTGTTGTGCGCGAGTTCCGATTCCCGCGCCGGCCAAAAGGTGATAAACCATTATTAGCCCTCGAGGCAGGAAGTTCGACAGTATTTCACTTGGAAAACGTAAAGCCATTTGTCTTCCGCCTGACCTCTCTCTTTGGGGTTCAGGGAGGGAATAGAGTGCACCAGTGTTTCTGCAAACACTTATCTATATAATATAGAAAAATGATTCCCTTTTTCCCGTGGTCGCTGCTTTTGCCCGCGACTTCGTACGCGCAATCCCGTTTTCTCCCGTTCCCTTAGCATTTTCAAGATTTTTTCTGTCATAAGAACCTTCTAATAATAACAAATACAACTAAAAAAGAATTAGTAAAATTGGTCCACCCTCCCATCCACGCGTAATGCCGTGACCAAGGGCTTTTTTTTAAGCGGGGAAAATCATCTATATAATGTCTTACTCCCGCCTGGGTGAGGCGGGAGGTAGTGCCAGACTCATACTGACTAAAAACCACCCCGTTCCTTTTCCTGCACGTCGAGCCAGAGCCCCGGTAGCCCGTAAGGTTCTCCGCGACTCCGAATGTGACCAAGGGCTACCTATATTATATCCCGAGCGTACGGCGCGTCGCGTACCGCGCGCGCCTCAAAGAGCCATCAGACCACCACAGATGGGGCCCAATACGGCCGATGCCGATTCGCAGTCGCGGAGAACCTAACGGGTAACCGGGGCTCCGACTCGACGTGCAGGAAAAGGAACGGGGTGATTTTTAGTCAGTAAGAGTCTGACACTCCCTCCAGGCGGGAGCAGTCATTCGATGATTGTCCCCCCTTAAAAAAAACCTATATTATATCTATATTTAGTTAAGATATTATATTATAGTATAGAATTATAGAAGTGTGAAACTAACCGCAAATCTTTTCCAGTTGAGCTCTTAAAGGTTTCATCATTAAATTAATGGGGTTCATTTTACTATCATTTATAAAACCGTACTGTGTCATATCAATCGATGCAGTTTGTTTGTAACAGATCTTCTGTATAAAATCCTTAGTTTTTGAAGACATTGCGCTATTTCTTTGTATTTTCTCTTTTCTTTTTACAGGACTTTGTATAAGCGATTTAAAGTCGTATTCTGCTTCTGGAACCGCATGGGATTTCATTTTGTTTTTATTTATACTTTTATATTTTTGAGATGGTGGATCTTGTCATTTTGAAGTTTTCGACTTTGAAACCTTGTTTGAAAGTAAAAAAAATAATTTTCGGCAGTTTTAGCCAAGTTTTAAATCAGTAGAAATTAAATAGGAGCACATTGAAATTGTACAATCAACTCCTCAACGCAATTATTTAAAAAATACAAAATAATAATTAAAAAGTATTATTTGCAAACAAAACAATTTTTTTCCTGGCTTCCAATCTATTAGTGGTCACGTATTAAAAAGCAATCATGTGTTGTCTACGCCCTGCATACTGCCAAGTGTCAATATTGTAATCTCTCACTGTCACTTTCAAGCATCGACAGAGTATTTAATATGTTCTGTGGGACTGGGATGATCGACTACCAAAATTGAAAAAGGGAGTAACCGCCACGATTTATTTTTCTTTTTTACTTAAAAACACCTAAAAATAACATAACATCACGCCTTTTATCCTCGAAGGGGTAGGCAGAGGTGCACATTATGCCACTGTACAATGTAACACCCACTTTTCACTATTTATGTTATGAGTCCCATGTAATAGGGGGTGAGCTAGGTGAGTCTATTGCCATATTGCCATATACCGGGCACAAATCCAGACTCCGTGCTACTATTGAGATTTTATAAAAAACCCAGTAATAATTTGCCCGAGCCAGGAAATCGAACCCGAGACCCCTTGCTTCGCAGTCGCACTTGCGATTGCGACCACTAGCCCAACGAGGCAGTCTATTATACACATGTTCGTTGTTTACTTTCTATTCTATGTATAATAAATTACTTGTATCGTCTAGTTGTTTAATATACATACCTAGCATTATTACGAATCTTACTCCCCAAAAGGGGTTGGCTTTTGCCCGATCCGGCATCGAACCTGAGACGCATTGCTCGATCCGATAATCGCACTGACCAAATCGATTGAGATTGAGTAATCACTCGACAGTAATTACCTACGTACCGTTTTTTTTTTAAGGGGCAAAATCATCGAATGACTGCTCCCGCCTGGGTGAGGTGGAAGGGAGTGTCAGACTCTTACTGACTAAAAACCACCCCGTTCCTTCTCCTGCACGTCGAGCCGGAGCCCCGGTAACCCGTTAGGTTCTCCGCGACATTACCTACCGTTAGGACGACTAACTTGTCTACGATACGGTAGAAATTCACATGCAGTACTTGTGCATGCAACATAGATTCGACAATGTGATTTTTTATGGCATAAGTTGGTAAACGAGCAGACGGATCACCTGATGGTAAGCAATCGGCGCCGCCCACAAACACCAAGGCGTTACAAGTGCGATACTGGCCTTTTGAGAATTGGGAATTTGCGGATTGTGGAGGATTCGGAGATTGAGGAGACTGAGGATGGGGCATGGGGGTAATTGGGCCTCCGGTAACCTCACTCACACGACGAAACACAACGCGAGCGTTGCTTCACGTAGGTTTTCTGTCAAGCTGTGGTGTCTATCCATTCGTGCCGAAGCATGGGTCTCCTATATCTAATCACCACTTTATTTTGAAGATGCGGGCGGGAAGCAAACCCATAATACGTACAGCTGCTACCCACTGCGACAACCCTGCAGGCGTTGACGACTGGATACTTCCAGTCAGTAAGAACGGTGGCTAGCAGATCATCCTATCCTTATCTTTTTACATTTTCAACTTAGTGTCATTGACATAAGGTCGAAAATCCAATAAATTATACAGATAGTAGATTGATCTCCTGGCTAATATAATATCTGCGACGAACATATAAAACTAGCGACCCGCCTTTGCTTCGCACGGGTTCGATATGCATGTATTATACATATTAACCTGCCCTCTATCAATTAAAAGAAACCGCATCAAAATCCGTTGCGTAGTTTTAAAGATCTAAGCATACATAGGGACAGACAGATGGCGGATAGCGACTTTGTTTTATACTATGTAGTGATGTAGGTAACAATAAATAAATTTACTTGAAACTCACAAAAAATTTAATTCCACCCTCAATCCATTTTTACCATCAATATTTTTGTCATTTTGACACTTACTTCACGAACTCAAACTCGTCGCCTTAACCATTTTTCCGCTGAAACATTAAAAAAAAAATCGAATTGTAACAAAATGCCTAAAAAGCCGCCAAAGCAAGAGTGCCACGAATGTTTGGAACCTATAGCGTGGTTGATCGGACGCTGGGTGACCGAAGATGGTCATGGATCGTACCATTACGCACCAAGTTTTAGTTTTAGCGAGGAATTAGAATTTATCTATAGCGAAGGTATGTAGTGTAACATTTTTGTCATACGTAAATTTACAAATATAAAAATGAATTTCCGTTCGTTAATCTCGCTAAATCTCGAGAACAGCTGAATCGATTTCGGTAATTTTAGTCTTGAAATGTTCGTGGAAGTCCAGGAAAGGTTTAAACGGTGAGAACAAAAATAGGCAGTACGAAGTTTTTTTTTATCTGTATTTATTAAGAAGGGCTTTTTTCAGTACGAAGTTTGCTGGGTCAGCTAGTACTTAAATAAAAATGAATTTTCGTTCGTTAATCTCGCTAAATCTCGAGAACAGCTGAATCGATTTCGGTAATTTTAGTCTTGAAATGTTCGTGGAAGTGCAGGGAAGGTTTAAAATGTGAGAAACAAATTTTAAGGTAGAAGTTTGCCGGGTTTTCTAGTATAATATAATTATCTTGATTTTAGTGACGTTTAAAAACATTGTTCTTTACTATTAAAATATTTAGTTAAAAAAACATGAAGGTACTTCAAATAGACACATTCGCGTAGGTATTGTGTTTGTATATTTTAGACATAGAGAACTAACTATAACATTTTGACATTTCTATGCGTAATTCTTATATTGTTAATTATAGAGGTAAGTTCCTCGTAATTTAAATTTTAATATTAATATTAATAATATAATGATGACTGCCTCGCTGGCCGAGTGGTCGCAAGTGCGACTACCGGGTGAGGGGTCTCGGGTTCGATTCCCGGGTCGGGTAAAGTATTACTGGGTTTTTAAAAATATCTCAGGAGTAGCACGGATGCTGGAATTGTGCTAATATATCTTGCGTATATGGCAATAGGCTTCACCCCCAATTACATGGTACTCATAACATAAATAGTGAAAAGTGGGTGCAATGGTATAATGTGCACTTCTGCCTACCCCTTCGGGGATAAAAGGCGTGATGTTATGTTATGTATGTTATGTTAATGATGACAATTTATCATCACTCCAGCTTTTTTAACTAGTGTCATGATAGCCGACTATGATAGTAACTACATATTTAATAGGGTGTGTGATGGAGTCGCTGAGAACCTAATGGGTAACCGGGGCTCCGGCTCGAAGTGCAAGAGTAGGAACGGGGTGGTTTTTAATCAGTAAGAGTCTGACACTCCCTCCTGCCTCACCCAGGCGGGAGCAGCAATTCGATGATTTTCCTTCCCTTAAAAAAAAAAACAATGAGGTTGTGTGGTTGACCGATTTTCCAATGGCGTCTGTCGATACCATAGAGCACAGACTAACAAATTTTCTCTTTTATAATTTTTATTTAAAATTCCAGATGAACCGTTATTCGACTTTATGTCAACAGCGAAGCACTCTAATAAACCACTATCGCTGTACGAAAGAGGCTACTTACATATGCCTAATCCGAAACGTGTACAACTATTAAACACCCATAACTATGGCTACACGGCCTCAGAAATTGGAAGATACAAAAGTAGGATCAATGAAATAAAACTGAAGTCTGTTACTTTAACAGCAAAGCCTGGAGTACCACGGCCATATTTGTTGAAAACTAAAAGAACATTTAGACTGTTATCGCCAGATACTTTAGAATATGTTCGTTATCTTAAGACAGAAATAACTCCAATGACACAGTATTTAGTAGCTATATTTAAAAAGGTTGAATAGCTCTTCTTATTTTTTTTTAAATAAAGAAAAAAAAGAAAGCTTTTGTTTTCTCTGTATTATGTATTTAAAACTATACTTTATTATCAAGACTGCTAAGGCTCATTTTTATTATTTTATAGTATTATAAAGTGTGATATTTAGCATTTATGTATAGAATATACATATGTAAATACATATAGATTGTTCAATAAGTATAAGCACATTATAATAAGTTGACTCAACGGCCAAAAACTAAAGACTGATTAGAAAAGAAAATATGTATCAATTACCAAATGTCTATGTTTACAGGGTAAATGGAAAACTTTTATTTAAAAGACAATAATTAATAAGAATAATAATTATTATATTTGATAAATATTGATTCACAAAACTGACATGACTCAATTTTTTATTAGTTAAGTACCTCTTGTAAAAATATACTAATTTACAAATGTATGACCAAGTGACCAGCAGGTCATAATATCCTTTTCTGTTAAATATCTCTATTATATCTTCAACTTATTGTATTGATATAAAGTCGAAAATACAATAAATAAATTTGACAGATTGGAGTAGTGTAAACTGTTAGCCACTGTACATAGTAGGTAACAGATCAACATTCCGATCTGTAATTTTTTATTTGATTTTAGATCTTAATATAACAACTATCAACAAAATAAAGTTGAAAATCGAATGAAGACATTTGACAGAATAGAGCATGTTGACCTGATGTGTGCATTTACCTTTTTTTTAATTCCCGCCGAAGATTCAACACCAAAAAAAAATCTTCCCGCCCTTTTCCCGAGTTTCTTGTAGTCTATGGTCTGAGGCTGCAACAGTACCTATATTTTCTTCCATTCTCCTTTGTCAGACGTCATCTTATAACAAACCAACTAATTTCTTTTTCATATCGCTTCTCACACAAGCCAATCATTTCTTTGATCATCCGCATTACATCCATATAAATATAAATTTAATTTAATTTCATCCTTTATCAACATATTTTAATGAAATAAATGATAATTAATATGTAATATTGCTTAAAAGTAGTTAAATTCAATAGTTATGTATGAATTAGAAATTATTAAAAAGTAATAGTTTTCAATCAAGTTTTTACGAGATTGTGTTGTGGTGTCATATTTTTTTTAACAAACTATAAGTTTATTTTTTAAAATTTTAATGGAATGAAAGAGAACTAAATAATTTTCAGTATGAATATAATATCTTTTTTAGGTACTTATGTATGTGTTAAATTGTATTTGTGCGCCTTACCTACCCTTAAAAATTATGTCACACTAATTTCATAATTTTTTGCCTCTCACCGCGTCCCTGTCAAAGCTAGTCACATTTGTGAAACTTCCCCCTCCCCCCCCTATCTATTGTGACGCGCCCCACCTAGTGTGACGTCACATTTTTTAAATTAACACAGTAATTATTAAGTGGACTTAAATGAAACAGCGGTTCCGAAATCAGTTTTTTTTTTATCGCGCATAACTAATAGAGAGAGTGGTCAACAAAACAATTCATATCCATATATCTTATATTTAAACAGTGTTTTTGAGGTTAGCGTTAATTAGTAATTTATAGTTCGTGTTTTAACACAGATTGTAATAGTTTTTGAAATGTGACGTCACAAAGTTTAGGATTTTTCCCACCCCTTGTCACACAATGTCACTCTTCGTCCACCTTCGCCCTTCCCCCAAAGTGTGACGTAATTTATGGATGTAAAGGGATGACGTTATATGCCTTTATTTTACGTACCTTGTTAATTCGTTATGTATTGTATTGTTCCAAATATAATTTATATTTAATTTAATAATTTAATTGTATTAATGATAAGTACAAAATAATGTATAGTGTGTATCTCATCTCATGGTGGCAATCGCTCATTATAATATTTATTATTATTGCTATTTTATGGTTTACTTACATTTTACATACAATCATTTGTTACCTATTTTATTTATTTAATAAATATTTATATATTCATATACTTGCTGCAGTTTTTTTTACTTTTTCCTCGCGGACGAAGTCGCTAGTACAGCTTAACTAGCTATTATTCCTTAGTATGTCAGCTACTTGTAATAAAAGTGTCGTTAAAATCGGTCAAGCAATTTCAAATATTAGCCAACACAAACAGACAGACAGACAAAAATACACACTTTTTTTAAAACTGATTTAATTACTTAAATCAATCTTGAAGATGTATTGAAAAAGTGATTTTTTTATTTTAAATTACCAAAAAATGTCATAGTATCCAGTCTTTATTCATGATCTTGAAATTAAACGCGAAAATAGTAGCCGCCATGCTGTTTCGACTTGTGACGTCACGCCAATAGTAAGCAATATGATTTTATTAGACACCAAGTGAAAATATTTTCGAAAACATTGTATTATTATAACCATTAGAACCCTAATCATTGGTGTTTTGTGCCTGGATGATAAACTAGATAACTTGGGATTTGGAGGTCGTCCATTAATCGCAAGTGGCTCAAATAGGGGAGGGGGTTCGACAAAAAATTACGAAACTTCACGAGGGGAACGGGGCCTAATAAAACATCACTTGTTTTTTCGTCAAGAGCGAATGAAGTTTATTACATTTTCGAACTCCACAATACTGTTACTATTTAGTATTTCTAAACTTTAACCAAATAACTTGTACTACTCAGTACTACCTATGTTAGCCCACTTGTATTTTGTGTGTTGAAAATTGAACTACACGTGATATTGGGTGGGGGATTGGTGGTAATATAAAACTTCATCATATTTATAAAGGGGCAGGATAGATGAAAAAAACAATAAAGAAAACGTTACGTGACAATTTTGGGATTTTCAAAATAAAATTATATCAACTTCTAATAGCTGCAGTTTTATTTGCTTCAATTATTCTTAAGCGGCAGAGGGGAATCATCGAATAACTCCTTTTACTCTGAATGAAGCAAGAGTTAGTGTCAGACTCTTGCTAATTGAAAACCACCCCGTTGCCCCGTTCCAATCCAATCCTGCTCCGACCTTGTCCTGCATCCCCAGGCAGGGATCGACCCTAGTGGACCTTATTTATCCTCATATGTGGTGGTGTGGAGACGCGGGGGTAGATAGTGGGTCTATTGATGGACTATGAATTCTGTTTGCCGTTTAAGAAGAGAACTCAACTCTGTTACTGATTTATTTAAGCTGAGCTGTGTTCAAACAAGTCGTTTATTTTAATGTAGATGCAGCAAAAGCAAATATAAGTCAAAAAATAAAAACAGCTGTCTACAACATGCAATGTTCCCGTGTTAAAAATAAGTCATTATTGTCTATTGCTCTGAATATTGCGAAAAAAGTGTCAATACGACAGTTTAGTGTCAATTTCAACTGTCACTATTAAGTGTTAACTGTACTTGCAATTGCCTTGCCGACCGGCCAAAGAGTATAATAAGTATAGGGGATCGACCGGCTATCAATCGCAGATTCGCAGCCGTTTATCGTACAAAAAAATCTAAATTAATTAAAATGTCGAGTTTACACGAAGCGTTGAAGCCCATATCTTGGCTGGCAGGAACCTGGTCTACTGAAGAAGGCCAAGGCTCATACCCTAACATACCGAGTTTCCAATATGAAGAGGAATTGGAATTTGTTTGCATTGGTGAGTATGTGGAATGTTCATGTTTATAAGTTTTCACTTTATTCAATTCGCAGTTTCTTAAGGATATGACTGTATCATATATTTACGAAATATTTTCTTTCCGTATTACTGTGTTCTTGATAAGTTTTCGCGACTTTATAACTACAAAAATACTGATGAAAAGTTACGTGTACATTGTACCTACATTTTTGTAGTTAAAAAAAAAACTTACGTAAACTCATTTTCATGGTAGTATTTGCACAGTTGGCTTAGGTCGTAATTATTGTTACTAATTAACGGTGTGGTGACAAGAGACAAGAAAACATTTTATCTCAGCATTGTCACCACCACTCTTACCGCGAGTTTCATTAGAACTTTGTTTTTAATATATCTAATTACATTTATTCGCTGTCGGTATTCTGAAACGATACAGCCTCCAAATCTTCAAGAAAAGAGTGTATTAACTCGTCGAGTACCGTCATTATAGTCACAATTATAGAACAATAGGTTGTGGTCACCGGTGACCACTTGGTGTTTGAGACAGTTTAATTTTTGAAAGACTGGCAACACAACTGTTACACCAGACTACTCTGGTGTTGCAGGTTGTGTCCATGGACAGCACTGATAGCTTACCATCGGGTGATTCGTCTGCTCATTTGCGTCCTATAGTATAAAATAAAAACAAACAAGGTTTTAATAAAATTAGCATCTGCTCAACTGCACAGCAATTTTTTGGCAGTAGGTTCTCATCGATTTCACTCGATTGTTTCTCCCAATTTTCTTTTCTCGTACACAAATAAGTAGCTACCTACTTAGCATTTTTTTTACAGCTATGATTTTTAATCCACTAACAATATCAATCATCTGGTGACTAGCCGACTCGTTTGCCTCATAAAAAATACATATCCTAATACCACAACTCATATATTTTCAGGTCAACCAATGTTCAACTATATATCTACATCAAAACACCTTGAAAAGAAGACTCCAATGCACCAAGAAAGAGGTTTCCTGCGCATTAAACCAGGCACTAATGAGCTAGCTTTTATAGTCAGCCATAATATGGGCCTCACATCTTTAGAAGAAGGCAAATATCATGAAGAGACTCAACAAATTACTCTGGAAACCGTTGGACTAACTCGTATGTCTTTTTCTAAACCACCCTTTGTAAAGAAAATGAAACGAACCTTCACACTATTAAGTCCTGACTCTCTAGAAGTTGTATTGTATATGGAGACGGACACGACTCCATTGACACAGCATTTGAAAGCTGTATATAAGAAGGTGGAAAAGTAAGTTGTAAACCTATCTTTCATATTTTCAAAAGACGTTTAAAGGCTCATGAGATTTTTTTGTTATGTTCTGAAGTTTTTAACCATATTTTATTAATATATAGTAGAGATGCACCGAATATTCGGTTACTATCCGGTATCCGGCTTATCTTGCCGTTATTTACTATCCGGCCGGATACCGGATAATGAACTTGGTAGATTTTATTAATGATATCTAAATAAGATACAGTTGTAATTGAATCTTTTTATTATTTTAAACAATTTTAACTTCTTATAATAACAAGTCAAAGCCTGCACGGCAACCGGCATGCCAGCTGAATATTCGGCCTGACCACTGAATATTCGGTATCCAGTATTCGGTCAAACAACTATTCATTGCATCTCTAATATACAGATCTCTTTATTTCTTCTTATTGTAAGGTCGAGTTTATTTCATCGACATGTTTATGACTGGGGACTAATTGCCTGCCCCAAGTCAACCAAACAATCAAAGTCCTAAACACGGTAACATTTTGAAGTGAAAATAAACTCATACTAGGCACTCTATTGTCAATTGTTATGCATACTTCTGGTTATAATTTAAAAGAGATTACAAACCAACTTTCATGTATGACTTTGGTTGGGCTGTAATATGCTAATTTATTTGGTGCAATTATCTTTATTCTAAGTGAAACATAGTGAGATTTTTATAATACTTTGTTATTTCGTTGAAATTATTTTACCCTATAAATTAATTATAAAAAAAACTTGGTATTTATTATGAAAGCTATGGATAAAAAGCCTAAAATATTGATGAGAATAATATAAAAATTGTAATAAACATAACAAGAAATACGTAAAAAATGTTTTATTAGGTCAACCTGTAACAAACTATGAATGTAATCAAATCTAAGAATCTGAATTAGTGTGTAATTTTTGTATACCTTTAAATTGTTGTATCATCATGAAACTTGGCAATTGTATGAAGATTAAATGACAATACAATATTATGGTACCATTAAGCTGGTCTGGAATTGGAAGGTCGCTGATGAAACTGGACTTCTTAATAGTAAACATAATGAGTTTGGGCTCATTGGCTATGTTCATTTCTTCTGATGATGAAGACAATGATATTACGTATATTATAATATAAGTAAAACTGAAATTACTAACCCATTAGCTGCTGTGAAAAATCTTGTATATAAGCATTGTTATTTTACTCGAATAGCCGGGCCGGTTTCTCAATCATCCGTTTATTTTTATCTGTAGAATACAATTTTATTGACAGTTTTTTTTAGTATGGAAGAATTATTGTCAAATCTGGCTTTGGAAAAATCGGCCCTAAGCCCCCTTTTTTTAAAGAGGGAAGGGTCTATTTTTGAATCAGTTAATTCTTAACTATAGAAAAAATTGACAGTTGACAGTTTTCAGTACCGTAAAACGGGGTGAATAGAATTCGAGGGGTGAATAGATACAGGAATGGGGTGAATAAATGTTAGAATATTTTCCCAACATTTATTCACCCCTCTTCTGTATCTCTTTACCCCGCGAATTCTATTCACCCCGTTTTACCGTTATGGTATTTTAAAATGTTCAAAGTTATTCCTCTGATGAAATTTATCTGGCCTTGGATTGGAATAATCGGCCCTAAGCCCCAACTGTGATACTCGAGAGACATTTAATTATTACTTAAACTATTCCTTAGTATGTACCGATTTTATTCCGAAAACAATGGCTTAGGAATCGGTTAAGTAGTCACTAAATGACTGAGTACGGCGGTAAGTAAAAGTAATCACTAATTACTTTTCCTTTGTTATTTTTTCTGCTTTAAAGCATTTGTTATTTTGTTTCTTATTAAAATTATTTCTTCTGACATAGTTGCAGTTTTATTTTGTTAAATTTATTCTGAAGTTGAAATCTAGTATTTATGGCTTAAGCAAAAAAGCAGACATGTCGCATGATAGTAAGCAATCAGCGCTGCCCATGGACACTCGCAACACGAGGTGCGAACAAGTGCGTTGCCGGCGTTTCGGGGAGGTGGTATTGAAATTGCTATTTGTTCGAGTATCGTGAAATGGGGTGAATAGGGATCGAGGAGTGAATACACCTACTCCTCTTCTGTCCCTTTTTGCCGCTTAAACCCTATTCACCCCATTTTACCGTACAGGAACATCAAGCTACCTTGTCTATGTCTTTAAATGTTATTGCAAACAACGTGTTAAACCCGTCATGTTAAAAAGTCCCATGTAATAGGAGGCTAGTATAATTTTCTATCACATTAAATTAGCAGCCTATAAGTACTGACCAAAAACCTCTTCTCGCACGGAAAAGGTTTCACCATTTATGCGTGGTGGTAAACCACGCTTGCTCATTGAGAGTTGGCGACTTCAAACTTAGAATTATAAGCTCCAGTTCACTCACGATGTTTTCCTTCACCGTTTGCCAGTGGTGTCTAAATAATCTTAGAAAGTACGGTACATGTACTTAACTCGGAAAAGTCACATTTGTACTTGCCATTGGTAGGTTTCGAACCAAGACCCTCATGCAGGAGAACCGGGCGACTTTAACCTTCGAGGCACCACGACACAGTTTTCTATATAAGAACATGATAAAAACTTGTAGTAGGTATATTGTGATCAAGTAGATATATAAAAATGAAGGACTGCCTCGTTGGCCGAGTGGTCGCAAGTGCGACTGCCGGGCAAGGGGCGGGTTCGACTCCCGGGTCGGGAAATGTATGACTGAGTTTTTTTTAAAACAAATCTCAATGCACGGAGTCTGGAACTGAGCCCAGTGTATGGCAATAGGCTCACCCCCTATTGCATGGGACTCGTAACATAAATAGTGAATAGTGGGCGTTACATTGTACAGTGGCATTAAGTGCTGTAACGAGCACCTCTGCCTTCCTCTTCGGGGATAAAAGGCGTAAACATCACGCCTATTATGTAAATAAATAAAAGAGTGAAAAGTAATTTTAGAATAATTTAATTTGATATTATATTGATAAATCGAAACAATTTACTTTTTACTGAGAACACAATGTTTGTTTACCTACTTACAAAAATCATTTTGAAAATACAAAGTCGTACAGTAAAGTCCCGGCACTAATCATAGCTACATATTTCGTGATGGGGGCTCGTTCATCTAGGTATCTATATAAAACTGAAGATTTCGTTCCAACGCTTTATCTCCGAAGCTAAGTGTCCAATTTGAATAATTATTTTTGTGTGTAAAAAAGCGACTTCAAAAACTAAAGACAAACGAAAAGTAAAAACTAAATAGGAAAAAAATACTATTATTGGTCATACGTACTTACTTTAGCATACCCACTGATACGTTAGAGGTCGGTGCCACAAGTTTTAAACAAATTTGTTCATTAACTCGTCGAGTACCGGTTTTGTAGACACAATTATAGAACAATAGGTTGCGGTCACCGGTGACCGCTTGGTGTTTGACAATTACCCTTAATAAATACCTAACATTATTAAGCTGTTTACAATTTTATTATGGATTATACCAGCTGTGACCACTACTATATATTTTGTTATGGGTTTGTGGCACCGACTTCTAATCTATCAGTGGGTGTGTAAGCTATAAGCACGTATAACCAATAATAGTTATTGACGTGACAACGTCTTAAATTAGGTTGCGGCTGGGAGTCACTTAAGAAAAAGTGTAACGCTCGGTAACGTTACGATGAGTCACCGAACGAGAGAGAGGCCCGCCGAATGCCTTGCGTCTCTCTCCCACTCAACTATGATCGGTCTGCCGCGCGCGCAGCACTAGTTCATTCAATTCCTTGTTCCTATTGTGCAATTTAATTATATTCATATCAATAAATATTCTACCGAGAAAAAGACGTTGTCACGTAAAATCTTCGCCCGTAAAAACGACTTTACAGGCAACCATTTTTTTTTTCTTTTTAATTTTCGCTTTTCGTTTGTACACAATATTGTAAAAAACAGTTTGTAAAATATATAATACGCAAACTTACCACTATCACGAAAAATCGGGCCATGAATCGTACCTACTGGGTATTATACACCTAATTTTTATCAGTTGCATTATTAGTCCCAAAAACATGAATGGAATATTAACTCATGGATATATATTGGATTAGGTAGTTATGATATAAGACCCACCGCCGTACTCAGTCATCTAATGGTAACGCAGTCCTTAGCAATTGTTTTCATAACAAAATCGTAAGAAATCATAACATCACGCCTTTTATCTCCGAAGGGGTAGGCAGAGGTGCACACAGAAGTAACACCCACGTTTCACTATTTATGTTATGAGTCCCATGTAATAGGGGGTGAGCCTATTGCCATATACCGGGCACATTTCCAGACTTCGTGCTACTACTGAGAATTTTTTAAACCCAGTTATACTTTGCCCGACCCGGGAATCGAACCCGAGACCCCTTGCCCGGCAGTCGCACTTGCGACCACTCGGCCAACGAGGCAGTCGTAAGAAATCTACACTAATATTATTATAGAGGAATGATTAGAATTTTTATTTGTTTGAATTGAATAAGCTCCGAAACTAACGGACTGATTTGAAAAAAATTGTTAACATTGGAATCCTACATTATCCCTGATGAACATAGGCTATATTATTTAATCTATACTAATATTGTAAAGCTGAAGAGTTTGTTTTTTTGTTTGTTTGTTTGAACGCGCTAATCTCCGAAACTACTGATTTGAATTGAATAATTCTTTTTGTGTTGGATAGTCCATTTATCGAGGAAGGCTATAGGCTATAAAACACCTCGCTACGACCAATAGGAGCCGAGCAGAGTGGGTAAAACCGCGCGCAAGTAGCTAGTCAGAGATAAAAAATTGAACCGTGTAAAAATTTCTATACGTAAACCCGATGTGTGAAAAATCTACAATAACGACCCTTATATTGTTTACACTGTTATTAGAAGATCCAAATTAGATGTCATTATTCTACGCGGACGAAGCCGCGGGGATCAGCTAGTATTAACTACTAGTATGACTGCGTACAGCAGTTATATTCACGTACAGCTTGGCAAAAAAGAGAGTTAGAAATAATTGAGGTCGCTCGTATCGTACCCCTGTGGCAACCCGGTACAACTATCGACACAATCGGTCTTGATATTTGTTATTTTTATCGAGTTTAAAAAGAGGAGGTGCTATGTTCAGGTGATTGTATATTTATAGGACATGGTCCGAAATGGGTGATCCAGTCAATATTAGTTCCAGCTGTTACCGTATCTAACTCTTTTTTGCAAATCTGTATGTGAATCCTGTGTGGATTATACATTAAAAAAATACACTTTGAGTCGAGTGTCAGTCTATCATTTACTCAGAATCTCCCAACCATCCCAAAATAAGATTTTATTATAACTTAAAAATAATTTAACATGTTACCTAAATGAAAACAAGAGTCAGCACTTGTTGAATAAACATGATATTTGATATTGTCTCTAAATAGTTTTTAGTGAATTTTCGCTTGGGTAGATGGCGCTAATGGAGATTAAAGTTTCCTAGGTAAGTCTCGACATTGGTAACGACGTAATTCGATCGTTAACTTACTTGAAAACATTTTCGATTTTTTCCTTTTAAAATAAATTTGAAAAAATACAAATGACATTTCTGAATTATCGACACATATCTGCCGTTGCTGCAATAAAGATTTCCGGCCTTGTCATTGAAAAACAATAAAATTAAATGCTACTTTAAATTCAGTAACGCCATCTATCGAGCATACAAAGAAATATTATGTATAACAGCAAATGCTTATAGTTAAAATCTACATTTTACTAAACCTGCGTTATTGTTCCTTAACAAACTATATTATATAAAAATCTGTTTACATTTTTAACATAATTCAGAGTTTATTTAGTTAGCGGATTGTTCATTAACGTTTCAACTTCGTTAGTTGGCAGCAACAAATACTAAGCCCTCAGATAGACCCCATGTTCTGTTAACACTATCTGCAGCTGTAGCCAAATACCACTTAGCGCTTGTCTACATATAGAATAGAAAACCAAATTTTATAGAATTGACGTAAATTTTGACACATGTCAGTGTTATCCCCATACATTTAGTTTTCTACCCTCTCTGTAGACAAGCGCTTGGCGTTTGGCTAAAGGCATTGGTTAGAAAAAATAGTAGCTTTCATTATCTGAGGCTCTAGAGCGAGTTCGTTTTATGTTTAAAGTACATAATCGAAACGAGACCGCGTTCGGCACTTTGATTGGCTCGTTCATTGGAGCCGGCCAATCAGAGCGCTGAACGCCGTCTCGGAAAAACGTTGACTTTGAAGTCACTACATAGTATAAAACAAAGTCGCTATCCGCCGTCTGTCTGTCCCTATGTATGCTTAGATCTTTAAAACTACGCAACGGATTTTGACGCGGTTTTTTAATAGATACAGTAATTCTTAAGGAAGGTTTATATGTATAATATATGCATATTGCACCCGTGCGACGCCGGGGCGGGTCGCTAGTATTATATAAAACAGTTATTTATATGTTTATGGGTACACTGAATATCTAATTTAGAATATGAAGAAGGCTATATTGGTTTATTTATTGCATTCATAATAACAATGAATTACAGGAACTATGCAAAAATATTCCTATAATAAAATATGGTTATTTGTTTCCGTAATAGGGATAATGACATGGTATGAATATTAAAAATCTAATTAGTCCATCAGTTAGGTAATAAAAAAATATTAGACACGTATTTTTTTATTTTTTCGTATAATACAATGATACTTAGATAAAACGAATCAAAGTTTAGGAGTGGGGACTAAAACGTCATTTCTACGTATAAAATGTACATAGAAGTGACGTCACGCGACATTTCAAATCAATATATCGTCGAAAGTATTCGTTTCTGTAAAAAATTAAAAAATACGTGTCTAATGATTTGAAATAATCTACCAGACGGGCATTAAAATAAAAATGAGGCATTTACCCTATTACCGTAACCATTATTATTTTGACTAACTTAATACAAATATGAAACCAATCATTAATCAAGGATACAAATTTAATCACTAGAGCGGCAATTTGCATTTGCGTCAAAACGGGTGAAGGGATCGGGATGAAATTTGAATATAACATAACATCACGCCTTTTATCCCCGAAGGGGTAGGCAGATGTGCACTGTTATGCCACTGAACAATGTAACACCCACTTTTCACTATTCATGTTATGAGTCCCATGTAATAGGGGGTGAGCCTATTGCCATATACCGGACACAATTCCAGACTCCGTGCTATTACTGAGAATTAAAAAAAAACCAATAATACTTTGCCCGACCCGAGAATCGAACCCGAGACCCCTTGCCCGGCAGTCGCACTTGCGACCACTCGGCCAACGAGGCAGTCGAAATGTCGAGGCAGATGAAATTCGGAACAGCGGTTGATCATGGTCTGGAATAACACATAGGCTACTTTTTATCCCACAAAAACGCGGGCGAATCCGCTGGCAGAAGCTAGTTGTAGGTAATATAAAGGTGGTTACGGTAATTAGGCAAGAAACGTCAAACCGGAGAATGACGGTACGGCACGCTAATATATTTTTGCCATTACATTCAATTCAGATCACTGACTAAAATATCTAGTGTCTACCAAGAACTATAAGTCTTCGGCACGAACCATCGCCATAGATATTTCGATATAGGGGTAAATTCACGCAGTGTGTTTTCTTATTATGTTATGGTTATCGCTATAGGTATAATATCATTAACTAAAAATCGCGGGTTACTCACGTGAATATGCTGAGAAAAGCTCTACTAGATTCGAACCACAGAGGGGTTCTTCCTCATGAACAACGTGCGCGGTCGCGGCTCGCGCAGCCTACTGTAACTGCAAATGACTGCACGGTTGGTGCGGTGGCTGGGCAACCGGCTGCCGTGCAACGTGTCGCGGGTTCGATTCCCGCACGGAACAACACTTTGTGTGATCCACAAATTGTTGTTTCGGGTCTGGGTGTCATTGTGTATGTGAACTTGTATGTTTGTAAACGCACCCACGACACAGGAGATAATCCTAGTGTGGGGCAACGTTTAAAAAAAAAAAAAAAAAATACGAAATACGTTAATAGAATTTTTAGTTAAAAATATCATATTTCTGTGGTTATTGCCATTAAACTGTCAAACACAGCGAGGACACCGGTGACCGCAACCTATTTTCTATAATTGTGTCTATAATGTGTGTGCGCGGTGTTTGACATTTCAAGTCAACGACCTCGGATATAGTTAGCTAAAAACGATTTTCTTGAAATTTTGTATTGTAAGATTTAGGGGGCGAGAAATCGAATCCATCTACGATTTGAATTACGCGGAAATAGCTGTAATGAGAATAATACTAATATGCAAAGCGCGAACTTACTCCCACCACGAAATGTCTTGGCCATGATTAATACCGCATATTACACAATAGTAGGTATTATGAAAAAATATTGCTTATAATATAATATAATAACAAACTATATAATAATGATAATTAAACATACATGTGCTGACTTCAACATTATTCATGAATTTATACTAGAAAAGAGCTCATATATATGATTTAAATGAGCTATATATACAGACGAGGGATAACGTTTACTCAACAGATGGCGCTAGTGTGCTAGAGGTCCTATTTGTCTGTCAAATCACTGAAGTTGTTCAAGATTGTCCACTAATTTGATAGTACACACGGCAACACATCGAGCTTTACATAACCAGTATAAACTGAACGTTAAATGTGCGGAAAGATGATGCGACGCGACACCAGGATAAACTGGTTTTGTATAGGTTGATGTGTGGCCGTGTGTACAAAGTATATCAAACTACATAATTATGCTCTATAGGGTTTGACGGTTTTAACATTGCATTTACAACTGCCAGGCATCAACAACAGCATAACCTAAGTGGCCACTGCAGAGCAAAACTTCTTCTCACACGGAGAAGGTTCGAGCATTACCTACTATGCTTGCTCAATACAGGTTGACTACTTCAAACTTCAACACAGGTTTCCTCACGATGTTTTCCTACACCGTTTGTCAGTAGTGTCTAAATAATCTTAGAAAGTATATATAACTCGGATAAAGTCACATTGGTACTTTTTAAGTTTCAGGCCTTTAGGCACGAGAAGCCGGCTTTTAAAACCTCCAGGCCACGGTGATAGACTGACAGGCATAACTGCGTTGCATTGTACTGATAACTGTACAATTTTGTCACATACACGCTTGGGCTGGACTTCTAAAAGCTTATATAAAAATATGCATGAAGTGGAATCTTGAAATAAAATTTTGAATCTTCAACCGATTGAGATGGAATTTTGTATACACATTTAGTTTGCATGACCATAAATGCTGTTTAATACAAATTATATAAAACAGTGTCATGAGATTAGGTATGCCGAAGTATCTTGTATTATTTTATGCATGTAAGATTAAAACCGTCGAACAATACAATAGTTTTACGAGTACCATAATCACCATCTGATGAGTATAAAAACGTCAATCATAAAATTACCTCAAGTCTGCATTGATCAGAGTTATGTCAACATCAAACGAAGTAATGAGGTTTGCGAGCGATGATTCCATACTCCTGCAGCGCTGGAGCCAAGTCCTCCATTGTCATTACATACTTCTTTTCCTTTGGTCCTTTAGGGTTCTTGGAACTCTGTGTCATTTGACTGGAGGTCCTCATCTTACAGTGTTGGAGAGCATCGTTGGCTATGTCCGATAAGAACTTCTGTGAGGCCAACGCTATGAGGCGGATCAACCTGGAATTTTTATGTGATTCGGTTAGTATTAAGGTGTTTGTTTTGATGCACACTACGGTTTGGTATTTTGAGATATTTAATATTTTAAGAAATAACCCTCGCAAATATACTATGCATTTAAAATATTAGATTCCTTGAGTCCCATGGTTTTGTAATTTTAAGTTATCCGTTGAAATCCATCACCTATTTGGTCATACAAAAGTAGTCTCTAAACATTAGAAATAAGGTCTATAATGTAATGTAAAGTTAGTGGAGAGTGGTCACCGGTGACTGCTTGGGGATATATGGGTTAAGAATAATATTTAAGTTACTGCCGCTATAGTAATAAGTAAAGGAGTATTTAATAATATTTTAGCCAAACCAATGTCGATAGAGGCTAAATCAGTTCATTCATTAGTTACTATGTAGTCAAGTCTTAAGTTGGAAGCAAGTTATAATGGAACTGCCTTAACATATTGTTAAATTTCCTAAAAAATGAAATAATATATTAGATGTACTATCATGTCTGTGGGTCATCAGACATCCATTAAAAGGCTGTTGTATGACAAATGAAATATTTCCTTCCCATCTTCACCTGATTAGAAATTCGGGGTAAAATACCACGATTTCCGTTTTCCCCTAATTCAGGGGATAATAGCCCGAAAATTTCCACCATTTAGGGGGTCATCCCCTTTATGGGAATGTGACAGAAGTTTAGTGATAACTATGACTTCTAATTGACAATTAACAATTAGTCATTAAAATACAATTATTTCAAAAATTATATCTCATATCTGTGATGTCTCGTGAATAATTAAATATTTTAATGATTTACAAATTGGTAGTTTCTTGATGACTTAGAACTAGTATTATATAACATAACATCATCATAACATCACGCCTTTTATCCCCGAAGGGGAAGGCAGAGGTGCACATGTATAATGTGGACCTCTGCAATGTACAATGTAACACCCACTTTTTACTATTTATGTTATGAGTCCCATGTAATAGGGGGTGAGCCTATTGTCATATACCGGGCACAGTTCCAGACTCCGTGCTACTACTGAGAATATTTAAAAATCCCAGTTATACTTTGCCTGACCCCTTACCCGGCAGTTGCACTAAAGACCACTAGGCCAACGAGGCAGTCTAGTATTATAACCAGAGCTTAATTAGAAATGGATGCATCATCTATTTGTATATTTGGAGATAATGTAGTATGGTAACAATCACACACAACGGGTCTTGTCCAACCAGTCAGTCACGTTCATACCGTGTGGTCACTAGACTTTTTTGAGGGTGGAAAATCATCGAATGACTTCTCCCGCCTAGCTGAGACGAGAGGGAGTGTCAGACTTACTGACTAAACACCACCCCGTTCCTACTCCTGCACTTCGAGCCGGAAGTTTCTTTATTTGGATGTTTATCCATCAATAAAGTCACAGATTTGAATGAAATTTGGTATACAGGCAGGGTATGGGCTGACTTAGGTGATAGAATACTTTTTATTCCAATGAAATGCTCCCATGGGATAAAACAGGAACCATATTCTACGCAGATAAGTCGCGGGCAACGGCTAGTATAGTTATAATGTTTTAACAAACTAAACTTATTACTATTTAGTAAGTATAAAATAAGTACAAGGGATGCTAGAGGCGAGTAATCGTTCTATGCGGATGACTAAGGGAGAGGCCTTTGCTCAACAGTGGATGTTTTGGGTGACATGATGAAGTATTGTTTCCTAGACTGACTAAACAATAATGTATTAAATATAGTTATCACACTAGAAGTTACAATTTTTAGTAGCTACCTTACAAAGCTAGCCGTGTCCATAATAGCTACTTTTCCAATGATATAAATAAATAGAGCTGAAAGGCAGTCCATTCTGCATAGGTTTCACAAAGGAGTTTTAAGTAGTTTCCTATATTGTTCATTGTTTTTTATTGTCAATGGTACAATCAAGGCTAAACACTAAGGAGGTTTTAATCAACTCTAATACAGTAAAAATTATCAATGAGAGATTCTTTAAAGCATAACCTTCAGTACTACTTATATCAATACCATAAAATCATAGCATTATCATAGATATATATAGTCACAAGAAATCCAATGCAGAATAAAACTCTCTCCCAATACAATCAACTTCTGTACCATAGTTAACTTAATATGCCTCACGATAGTTATTATAAAATCAGTATCAGTACCATATGTATCAGTTGGTTGGAAGTAACTATGTCTATTGAATTCATTAAATCTTCATCAGGTCATCATGGTATTACGAATAAATACCATTTTCATGTAAAGCATACCACATGTCTTTAAGCATTAGTCAGCTAAGAGTAAAGTACTAAGAATTTAAAGTAATAATTACTTATTGTATATCTGGAAATGAGCAATAAGTGTGTATGAGTGTGTAATATAGAAGTAGTCATTTCTTACAAGTTAAATAACACATTGCTAAGCTTCAAAATCTAGTTAAAACTAAAATAATGACAAGATCAAGGGGATCTTTCGTATGCCATTTTTGTGGGATTATTGATGTATTATACTTTTTAAGGAGTTCGTAGCAAATAAGATACTTGCCTAGGATCCTGAGACTCGAAACCAGACATGTTTAGGTAATGTGCAACCACGGAATCCGGGATAGATGGATTGTAATTCTCAAGTTGCAAAAGGAAGTCGCTTAATGCGTGTCCAGCTCCAGTATCCTCGTCCATATTTACTGCCGGAGAGCCGATACGACTCATCTGCATGGCGCTGTCAACAATTTATAATTACTTGTTTAGACTAAATTATCGAAAATAAACAAAATGCAAAACTTCGTACACACGCACTTCCATGACTTACCAAGCAAGCACAGATAATAAAGAATTTTTTCAACAAACCTATGTCATTTTTGTCATTGTAAAAATAGGTTGGTCAACCTGATTACGTTTTGCTTTAACGTTGGAAGTGAGTTTTAGTTGTTGTAATTTTGAATTAAATTATTAAATGAAAAAAGCTACGACTGTTATGTATTTAAAACGAAAATTTGACAATTTATTATAAAATTCCGAAAATAATATAAAAAGCTATACTAAATCTGTTAAAATAACATGATTCGCAAAAGGAATGAAGCAATAATTAAACGCAAAATGTGCACGTCATTCAAGTGTTCCCTACATTCAACGATTTGCCCTAATTCTGTAAGTAATAATACATTAAAGGGAGAGATTTTGAGACCTCAAAAACGTAATAATACCCTAAAATGTTTACAATTATTATTCAAAAAGCTTTAAATTGCAATTTTGTTTTGTTTTTATAAACTTCTTAATTTTATTAAGTTATTTTATTTTAAATTCGAGATATAAAATTGTTTTGGATATATGTGTATTTTGTTTTTGTTATATTTTGAAAAAACAAGATATTATGGATAATTTACTTTGCGCGATTTTATTTTAAACTTAGAGAAATTTATAACTTATTTATAGAACTAAGTGGTAATTTGAAAATTTGCATTGGCCACCCTGACCTCGTGGTGCTTTTCCGTGCGGTTGGCAACATCTGCCCCTTCCTTCCTTCTTTTGCGCCGCTCCTCCGGGCAGAACTGCGAGAGAACGTGATCGATCGAATTTCAAAAAAGGCACACACCTACCCCCTGTGCTCCCGAGATCACGAAATTACTCTAAATCTCCTGATTTTAAATTCAGGGGTTCGTGTTTCGTGATTTATTCCATTCCGTGTGTGTACCCAGATTCCACCTCGACCCGCGAGGTAATTACCAAGTGAACACCCTCCTCACAAAATGTCTAACCTCGCTGATCCGGTCGCGTTCGCGAAAGATTTCCTCGCTGGCGGTATCTCCGCCGCGGTCTCCAAGACCGCCGTCGCGCCCATCGAGCGCGTCAAGCTGCTGCTCCAAGTCCAGCACGTCAGCAAACAGATCGCCGCTGACCAGCGCTACAAGGGTATCGTCGATGCTTTCGTCCGCATCCCCAGGGAGCAGGGGCTCCTGTCCTTCTGGCGTGGTAACTTCGCTAACGTCATCAGATATTTCCCCACCCAGGCGCTCAACTTCGCCTTCAAGGACAAGTACAAGCAGGTGTTCCTCGGAGGCGTAGACAAGCACACGCAGTTCTGGCGCTACTTTGCGGGTAACCTTGCGTCCGGTGGTGCCGCCGGCGCGACCTCCCTGTGCTTCGTGTACCCCCTTGACTTCGCCCGTACCCGTCTCGCCGCCGACGTCGGCAAAGGCGACGGACAGCGTGAGTTCAAGGGTCTCGGAGACTGTCTTGGCAAGATCTTCAAGTCCGACGGTCTGATCGGTCTGTACAGAGGCTTCGGTGTCTCCGTGCAAGGTATCATTATCTACCGTGCTTCATACTTCGGATTCTACGACACAGCCCGTGGCATGCTGCCCGACCCCAAGAACACACCAATCGTCATCAGCTGGGCCATCGCGCAGACTGTCACCACCGTCGCTGGTATCATCTCGTATCCCTTCGACACCGTCCGTAGGCGCATGATGATGCAGTCTGGCCGTGCCAAGGCTGACATCCTCTACAAGAACACTCTCCACTGCTGGGCCACCATCGCCAAGTCCGAGGGTACTGGTGCCTTCTTCAAGGGAGCCTTCTCCAACGTCCTCAGAGGAACTGGTGGTGCCTTCGTATTGGTGTTATACGATGAGATCAAGAAGCTTCTCTAAATCTAATGTAAGAATTGTTACCATAATTTCAATTTATTGTGATTCCAAATCACCACAGATAGCCACTCCCCTAAATCTTGTATTATTAGACGCGGAATTAACCTAGTAACTTATTTTTAGTTAATAAAAGCGTTATACACCAATTCCAACAAGTATTTTGTTTTATTAAAATGTTAGGTATTACATAATGCTTGGCTACACCTCACTGAAAAGGTTGCATAGCTGTTCATGTAGGTTACATGTCATTCAGAACTTTTTCTAAATATATTTGCTTGTGATCATAGCTCATCCAGCCAGTGTGTGTGTTATGTAACAACCTCATTTCGTTCAATGTTTTGAGGCCAAGGTTGTTTGTACCTCTAGTTACTGTCTAACTAACACTAATTATCTAAAATGTTGGAATAGAGAACTTCATTAGTGAATATTTATTGTGAAAATAGTAGATTTTCACTTATTGTTATGTGGTTATTTAATCAATACTTAACCTATGTGGCATTGGGAGTGAGACCTTGTACTTTATAATCAAGTGATCTAAACAGGACGCTGTGAAAATCATGTAAAAGCTGTGGAATCCAAATCATGTGATTGAGAGCTGTTATGTAACTATGCAGTATGTGTAAGTGCTATGATGTGTGCATGGTGACCTAGTAGGAATTTAATTTTAGTTCACTTTTAAAAAGTGCTATGCAGTGTAGTAAATCCACATGTATATCGATATAATGTAACAATTGTTACTACGAGCAGGCTCATCGAGATCATCAACCCTGTGTAACATCTTTCTTGCTCGGTATGAATTTTTTGGTGTGAAAAATTCATGCTAAGAGTAAATTATTATCTAGAAAATAAATGTTAAATAAATACTTCTTGAGTTTCATTACCTCCTTGTTATAACTAACTACCTTTGTCTATGCTACACCTAATAAATTCAAATTTAGAACACTGCATACATTCAACGTCTTCATAGTTCATACTAATTTCTTTTGATGAAATTGTAAATAATTGATTTTCATAGTTAATTATGTCTCCTCCCATTGATAAAGGCCACCCTAACATAAAACTTAACTAAAATGAACCTCTAATTAGGTAAAATGATTAGTATCCAGTCATCAAGTACCCAGGTCTTAAAATTAAAAAGTAATTAATGAAAAAAAAGAGTTCCTGCTCTGCTGCCTTCATTCAACCTATAGGATAGGTCAAGAACAGACTAGCTGGAGGTTCCCGGGATACACCTAGTAGGTATAAAATCTAGTCATTCATAAAAAGGTAATTAGAGCTATTCTCGTTGAAATTACTACGTCACAATTATGGCGTACATTAACGGCATAAACTCAATGACGTCATTGATGAATGGTTACGTAATGTAAAATCACGAGTTGAAGAAGTGACTTGTAAAGGCGAGTCTACATACGCGGCAGTAACCGAATCACAAATAATAGCAAACATAGTGAAGATGGCCGCTCACTCAATGAAATAGTTGTTTCGTCTGCTACATGTCGACTTGAATAATCAATAAAATGAATCGACCCCTCGTTTTGTGCAGCCATCCGCATTCAATGAATTAGTGAAGGGTCGAATCGACGCCAAGCCATGAGGGCGAGGGCGACCGGTAAGCGATCGACATAATGCATATCTACCTACCTAGGTATGTATTCAGCACATCTGAACTAGCCTTTAGATTCCATTGAATCATAATGCCATCTAGTTTTATTGACCGCGAATACCTGTTATTTATATGAACCGTAAAGACACTACACTATGGTCTAATTACCTACGCTAATGTCTACTAAAAGGCCTCATTATCTATCTAAATAATCTAATTGTTACAACGTAACGTCTAGAAAATTCCTAAGATTACCTTCTGTGACAATGTACTTACGTAATATCGGACTTAAATTCTTGGCGCTAAGTTCAAGGCTAGACGCGACGCTATCTTTCAACTTGTTATAATTTTAGCCTCCGTGCCGTGTAATTTAGGCTAGTACAGATTATACAGCGACAAACCAAACGATTTCAAGCTTTCCTGATTAGTTTTTAATTAACACAAATATATATTTGATTTTAATTATGTTATTAAAACTTCTAAATCTCAAAAGTTGTTAGCCTGACATCGCATCAGTCGGCCATAGCCGACTTCAATTTGTAGGTTATGTTTAGTAAATGAAACTTGAAAAGAGGTCGAAAACCTTTTTACTGGCGTGCAGTTCAGCGGTGTCTAAAAGTAGAAAAGGCAATAAATTAATTATATTACGTAATTATTTAATTGTTTTGTCTTTTTCATTTAGAATCAAAATAATAACTGCCTTAGCGGTTATGCACTGACATAGCAAAGAAATCCCAATTTTTTTTCCAAAAATTGCGAATACCGATCTAACTGCTTACATAATAAAGTCCATTATAATTGAACTAGATCTGAAATCAATACTACTGTTTTCAATAATAATTTACAACGCTAATGTCAGCTTGTACAAGGTACGAACTAAAATCAACCTTATCTTTGACAAGGTCAAGTTCAAATTTTATTAGCACTTCGTAGCCGGTAGCAATGGACGTTATGAGCTAAATTACAATTTGCTGTGTCGATGTCGTGGCAGACTATTTACTGATTCATCGCATCAGTTAAACACGTGGTTTAAAGTACAGACTGCAATTTGTAGACCTTATTACAAAAGGGTTAAAGTTGAATATTAATTGGAATTTCGGGGTATACGTTGACATACTGTTGTCTAGGTACCGTTACTCATTGGGTACCTAGTATTTTTTATTCATTTGGACGTTAGATGAAGCGGCTGTGCGCCATATTGAAAAATGCTGCTTTTTCTAAAAAAAAAAACAAAGAACTGGACATTTAACAGAGATCTGGCAGTTTTTCTAGTCAGGAATCTCCAACGTTCTCCAACTCGCCTGACAGGCTTAGAGATTACGGCAAATCTCTCTAATGCAGAAGAGAAGAGGTCAATAGTAAAAAGTGGTCCATTATGGACTGTTGATTTGGACTGTCTCCGTTTTATGTTAATTAACTTCAGACCAAACATATCCCAATCATTATGCAATTTATACTAACGCCCGAGTACTGATACGCTACTCAATTTAAGTTGAACTTAAAAATATCATGCCATCTCTTTCATTTTACAAAGAATTTGTAGTGACAGAAAATAAAATTGAATGACGTTTTTGTATTTCAGCGCAAGACTCGCTCAATCTAGCGACAACCGATTACAATTTGGCGTCCATATTAGTTTATTCTTTATTCAAATCGTCGAATAAGCACAGCCGATCCATGTACTGCGATTGATATTCAGACTTCTTCCTCTAGAAATAAGGTCAATTATTTAATAAACTTTGACCGATTATGTCAGTGGTTTTGTGATTAGGAAGGAACAATGGATAGACGCTACAACAATAATGGTTCTGTTAGCAATTTTTTTGATGTTCTACGAATTTATAAATAGGTATAAATATCCGGTGTAGGTAGACTATTTAGTTTGTCTGTTGTAATGCGCGAAATAGAAGATTTATGTCAAATAGACCTCGATCCTGAAGGAATAAGTATAGGGATAACATTAGCGAATGTTACCTTATTAGTAATAAAAAAAAACTTTTCAAGGACTAGGTAATAACTTATTACCTAGTCCTTGAAAAGTATTTTTTTTAATGGTGAACGAACATTCCTACATAGTTCATCGTGAAGTCAATTTTATTTTTTTTATTTTTTTTTTACCTCTTAGTAAGCTCCCATTAAGATTAAATAGGACACAGAATTATACAGATGCAGTCTTTATTTAATCACACACGGCTAGGAATATGCCATAGACCAAAAATTTTTTAGTTCATACTCCATGCTCACAGTAAAGTTGCATTCTTTGTTCCGTTCCGTCCGTGCGTCGCACGATCCGCAGGTAACTTTTTTTTCAAAATGTTCCCCTCTCGTCAGCTGCCAGCTCACCATAATGATTCGGATACATTTTTTCGAAGTTGGAACACCGTTTTTTTTTAAATGCCAGTCCTTGCCACGACATTGTTTGTTTACAAACGTTGTATAATTCGTGTTTGGTCGCATTTTTAACGATGAAAATTTAAACTTAAATGGACTCACGCCTGTCCTATAACATAATAATAATAAATTTTTATTTGGAACAACATAGGAACCATTTTGTGTTAGTATGCGTCTTTTAAACTACAACTTAAACACTAGATATGGTAGACAGAAACTATTTAGATACTTTTTGAGGCCCTTTAATTAGAACATCATAGCCAAATGACCAGTAAACTAAGAGACAGACATGAAAATAAAGCATTATTAATTTCGTTGATGTATTCATCCATTCATGGTTATTTGTCGAGAAATGAAGTCTCATGCTAAACCAAATGAAGTAAGTAGTATGCATAGACTATACAATATATACTGAGGTAGTATGTATCCATGGTTGCCTTGTCTATCATGGTCATGCGTTCAGACTTCTGAGGTCTTAGTACCTACGAGTTTGATTTACGTTTAAAATATTTGAAACGTGTATGTACGCGTTCGGCTCTGTGATTGGCTGGACCAAAGAAGCAACCAATCAGAGGCCTTAGTACGAGTTTATTTTAGGTACCTACGTTTAAAGTAAACAAAACGAAACCTCGTTCGGCGCTCTGATTGGTTAGTTCATTGGCGCCGGCCAATCACAGAGCCGAACGCGTATTCGTTAAAATTACTTTAAACGTAATGAAAACTCGTACTAAGGCCTCAGACATAGATAATAAGATAGTGACCAGTGGACCTATAAGTAGGTACTTCATACGCACTAATAACACGCCACATCTTAACGTTTTATTAATTTCAAAACTAAAATGAAGTCTGACTGCCTCATTGTCTGACCATGTCGTCGCAAGTCCGACTACCAGGCAAGGGGGCTCGGGTTCGATTCCCAAATCGGGCAAAGTATTACTGGGTTTAAAAAATTCTCAGTAGTAGCATGGAGTCTGGAATTGTGCCCGGTATATGGCAATAGGCTCACCCCCTATAACATGTGACTCGTAACATAAATAGTGAAAAGTGGGTGTTATATTGTACTACAGTGGCATTACCTAAGTGCCATAATGTGCTCCTCTGCCTACTTATAGCCATTCGATTAACAAAGGTTAGTGCCGCATGGCTACAAAGATGGAAATCGGCCCCTACAATTAGGTCAAAAATAAATTATTTTGATTTTTCAGTACAATTAAATATTAAAAAGCAGTTACACTTTCATTCATTGATATGCCGATATACTTAATTTTCGATTTATTCTAGCATATTTTTAGATAAAAGTGTGCTATTTGATGTGAAAATATGATGACGTCATAAGATGATATTTCGTACACTTGGCTACATATCGAGCTTTACATAACCAGTATAAACTGAACGTTAAATGTGCGGAAAGATGATGCGACGCGACACCAGGATAAACTGGTTTTGTATAGATTGATGTGTGGCCGTGTGTACAAAATTCATAGAACAGAATCGTGTTTGAATTTGACTAGTTGTCAACTAATGTATTTCTTATTTGTCCAATCACAATCATACTAATCCGATAAGTAGAGAAGAGTATAATATGCAATTAAATAATCATTCGTCCATAAGGTAATTATTATCAACTATTTGTTTTATTTAGTCCAAGGTTCGTCTATCATAGTTCAAATGAAGAACTAATGATGTTCTAAATTTAAAGACGAGTTGGCGCCAATCGCATCTGAACTGAAGCATAGACTTCCTCGTGCTTTTTTATCTAGGCACGTGTAATGTCCGTACAGCCGATGATCGAAAAGGTGACCATTCATGATTATTAGATTTGAGTACTTCCTTATGGTAAAAATACTTGAAAGGTGTTTCTTTACCTTT